AAATGAAACTGAATTACGAGCTTGGAATGCTTTTAAATTAGTTACTGCAAATTTTTTAGGCAATGTGCAATGTTTTTTGAATCTTATCTCGACTTTTTTCCGGAAAATTTAGGTGCGGTAAGTGATGAACATGGTGAACGCTTCCACCAAGACATTTGTTGGACATTGTTAAGAAATACTTCTGGAGCAACATATCGCCGTAAAACATCGACAACAACATTCTGAGATTAATGTTTATTACAGTGTTTATTAGTACCCATACATACATATCCTTATATTTTACGAGTATAAGCAGCAAATAAAATGCTTTATTGCAAGAAAACCGTAGGTGATAGAAAAAATCGAATCCTATTTCCGGCTTTTGGGTACGTTTTACATAATAACCACTTTGTTTCGTCCATGTCACAAAAAAATATTTTAATTTTGTTCAGTGTAATTAGAATTTCGATATTGTCGATATTGTCTCCCAGCATCAACTTTATTTTTTCTTATAGTCGTCATATTGGATGTCTGTACAGGCGAATAGAGTTTTCAATTCTGGTTCCAAAAATGCGTCACACATTACAACCTTAGTAGTTTGAAAAAAAGCAGAATTTCATAGGTGGAGGTGGGTGCTTCACCTACCAGATTTATCTCAAAATCACTTTTATTTTTTCTGACTTTATTTGAGACAGGATTCCAAAATAAATTGCATGTTAACATTGGCACTTTTACTTCTCTACAAGACGAAGCGTCATACAAAAATTCTAGTTATGCCATCTTGTAGAGTAGAAAAAGTGCCAATATTAACACGCAATTTATTTTGAAACCCCATCTCAAAAGAAGTCAGGAAAAAATAAAAGTTACTTTGGAATAAATCTGGTAGGCGAAACAACTGACTAGCTGATAATTTCAAGACCTACTTAGGAAATTCTTCTTTTTTAAATAGATAAATAATAAAGTTTTTGAAATCATAATTAAAAACTATTCGTCTGTGCAAAAATCCAATATGGCGTGCATAAGAAAAAATAAAGTTAATGCTGGAGGACAGGAGATGAAACGACATATTAAAATTCTAAGGATCTATTGTAGATTGTAGAGAAAAAAAAAGTGGCAACGCTAATGTGCAATTTATTTTGCAATAAAATCAGGAAAAGATTATAATCATCTCGAGAAAATTCGGTTTATCCTATCTCCTATATGAAGATTGTTATAAGCTCCTTTAAGGGTTTGAGGATTAGTTTCAGAGTTATAGCCTATTCAATGTAGAAGACAAACCGCATTTTGTGTCAAAAATATAGATTTTTAGCCAAGTTTTTAATCATTGTACTAACTGCTTAAGCAATACAAATAAATAATTTTGTGGTTTCAGCTACACCAGAAACGGCTTTTCTGAAACTTGTGGTATAGACATTTTTAACATCCTTCTTTAGGAGGTACCTATAAAAATATGTGATAAAGTATCGAAAATTGCATTGAAAGGATTGTAAGTATACATCCTGATGACATTCGTAGAGCGACGAGTCTCGTCCATGAAGTGAGAAATGCTCTCCACGAATTCCGCCATGAGTAGTGGAGCGACTTTCTGGAGGGGATGCTTGAATCAAGTATTCCTCTCTGGAAAGAGGCAAAATCGCTCAGAAACGGAAGGCAAGAACAGCTACCACATATTCATGGTCCTGGGGGCATAGTTTTCAGGACTGACGATAAAGTGGAGGTTTTTGCTGACGTCATGGAAAGGCAGTTCTCTCCCAATTATGATCCGGACAATTACCTTAACGAGGAGCGACAAATTGTAAGATCTGTCAGGAGATACTTCAGAGCAAATGGCGATACCAACATCGGTGCTGACATCGGTGACTCCTTTTCATAAGATTCTTCTACAGAATACTCTTCAAATTAATCTCACCATAGCACATCAACGGAATCCTCTGAGATTCCGTTTTGCACACCAGCAGAGCTCCAAGGCCACATTAAGGACCTAAAGGTGCGTAAAGCACCTGGAGAGGATCAAATCACCAACAAAGCACTGAAGTTGCTTTAGCTCAAGGTTTTGACTTATCTGGTGGCAATAATCAATGCAATGCTCAGAACTCATTACTTTCCTAAGGCGTGGAAGGTCGCTGAAGTCATCATGATCTCATAGAAGGCAGGTTCGATATTCCCCCAGGATTACCGTCCCATTAGTCTGCTGTCAGCTCCTTCTAAGCTCGCTGAAAAGGTGATTTATCGTCACCTTGAGAATTTCTCGTCCGGTCACCATGTGATTCCTGACGTGCAATTCGGCTTTCAGTCTGAGCATAGTACGGAGCTAGAGGCAGTTAGACTGGTGGAGCATGCAACCAGGGGGTTCACCCTGAACAAAAGTACTGGTATCTTGCTTTTGGATGTATCAAAGGCATTTGACAAGGTGTGGCACATGGGCCTCTTGTATAAGCTTATCCAAAAGGGTTTTCCATTTTGGCTACTAAAACTGTTGAAATATTTTCTAGAAGGAAGGAAGTTTCGGATCAAAATTAACAATGTGTTGTCAACAGTAAGTAAGAGCCGGTGTTCATCAGGGTTCAGTCTTAGGACCAATCCTTTATTCACTTTATATACATCACGTCCCTTGCCCCAGCAACTGTGAAGTCTATCTCTATACTGACGACACTGCACTGCTAGCCCAGTCTTGTTCTGGTAACCTGGTTCACGACATGCTGCAGAGTGCGGTGGAGGAGGTATTGAAGAATCTATTGTACTAAAAAACGTTGCGGTTCCCCCTCAGAGATATCAGTGAATGGAACTCGTATACCATGGGAGCAATCTGTCAGGTATCTTGGAGTCATCATTGACAGGGGGTTTACCTGGCAGAAACATACTGATATTTTGATAACAAAATTCCAAATTACCTTTCGGCAGCTTTATCCTTTCTTGTGCAGAAATTCAAAATTAAGTTTGATCAACAAGATTCGGATGTATAAAATGGTCATAAGACCCGCAATCACCTACGCAAGCGCGGCTTCGTGTTTTCTTGCTAAGACGCACATGCAGAGACTGCAAGTCCTGCAAAACAGAACCCTACGCACAATTACTAACGCCCCTTGGTACGGGTCAAATGAGACCATTCACAGAGATTTTGATATTCCATATCTAAGGGATTATGTAAAACAACAGGCACAGCGGCATTATAATCAAGCAGAATCGCACAGCAACACTCTGTTGCATGATTCAGTAGACTACACAGTCCAGCAAGTTCGCAAATATTCCAGGCCGCGCCTCGCACTGTGATCAAAATTAAATTGTAAATTCAGACCACCAAAATTATTTCAGTATACAAAACCGATCAAAATTATTTTTTGGAGTTACAAAATAATTCGAGTAGTCAAAGCAATAATACTTAAGCTATTTCAAATTATTTGCTTCTTTTCTTTGCTCTATTTCTTCCTTCCTTTCTTTCTTTCCTTCTTTCTCTTTTCCCCTTAAACATGTTTGGTATTCGGGTAGCCAGACTTGACAGACTAAGAGACCGACGAGACCTTTGACTAAGAGCAAGGGTCCACTGGACCACTATGACGAATAATGACGAATAGTAGTAGGATTGTAAATATCTGTCAAGTTTTTGAACGTAGTGTCCAACAGTGCACATTCAGATATATCCTTCCAAGAAAGAAAGATTGATTTTACATGCCTGTATTTCATTTTGAAGGTTAGTAGGCGAGACATAAGCGTTCGGATGCAAAATAATGCTTTGACAACCCACCAGTCAAGGGCGGATTTAGGAATCTGTCTAGGGAAGGCGCGCGTTTCACGATTCAGTAGGGTAATTTTTACACCAAGATATAGCAATATGTATATATACCATTTCCTTGCAAAAGAATGTGAGACTTGCCCGTCAATAGGGTACGCGCGCGCCCCTTCACCGCTTCTCTAAATCAGCCCGTGCTGCCAGTCCGTCATTTTAGTAGGCAGTTAAGTTATGTTCTAGGGCTCCAAAATGTTGTGATTAACTTCAAAACGAGATGTCACTTTTTATGTACACCGCGGGCCAAATTTATCTAACGGCTTGACGTCAATGTGTACGATAGAAAAGCTTAGCGAAGATCATCATCGCGTTGCCTAGCAACGCTCACGGGGCTACCTTCCGCGTTTGCCTATATGTTACACCAATTCCTTGAATTAAGATGGATGTTGAAAATATGCGTTAGTTTATTCTCTACGCTCGATGGTTTTGTTTTGGAGAGTACACATTTTTGCATTGTGAATTATATCGAATCCGTTTAGGATCGATTCTGGATCGGTCCTAACGGCGCTTCATTTTAGGTCGAAATGTAAGACAGGATCGCCGATCGCTCACTGTCTTAAAATGTAACAATAACTCAGGATGTGTTGATTTTATCACCATCAGTGGAAATTAAAGATAATTCTAAACTAAATTAAAACACTAAGGGCCGTATCGTCAGTCGTTCCTATAATTGTAGGACGCCTTTATGGCCTCCTTGATTTTCATAGCTTTTCCTCTACTTCACAAAGGCCTACTATTCTGTGTCAGCATTCTCTCATTGTGTAGTTATGCTATCTTTTTGAATTGTTGGAAATTTTAGGCTGATCAAAAGCATGAACAATTTGATGCAAGTAGATATTTGTGACATTACCTCAAAATAGAGCGTTGACTCGGAACATTAGAAAACTATTTAAATCAAGCAGGCCAATTTATTGTAGGAACGACTGACGATACGCCCCTGAGTCGTATCAAAATTAAAATAAGCAATTCTAGCCAAAAAAAATATTAAATTAAATATCCAAGCAGACCTCCTTCCTTGACAGTTACGTAACCTATTGTAGAAACCTGTGCGACCATTTTCTGGTGTAACGTATTGGCAGATTGCATGACCTTCCGCGTCACCGTCGCTAGACAAATTTGGTTTTCCCTGTATGATATCCATGAATACATTTTTTTCACCTTGAATTTCAGCTTGCTAGCTTGACCAGCTCAAAAAATAAGTGGGAGAACCTTTATGAAAAGTATTGTATATTTTCAGACACAAAACCTGCAGATTTTGAGACAGCCATATCAGCTTCTGGTTACGGCAAGTTTAATTGGATTTTATACATAATCTCAGTGACAGCAGGATGGTCTTCCATATTCGAGACAACTACCATGTCTTACGTCTTTCCAGCTGCAGAGTGCGACCTGGATCTCAGTCTCACACATAAAGGATGGTTGAATGCGATCACATATGCAGGTAACTTACTACGATTTTTTTAGAATGAAAAAACACAGTAAAACCTAAGAAAGTGACTTTTAATGATTGATTATTTTCTTTGAAATATATGTAATCACTTTTCCGTGTAAGTGTAATTGGAGAAGAATCAAGTAACGATCATGTTGTTCAAATACTATTCGAAGTCATCAACGTTCGATTCAAACACCAGCTTGTTAAATTTATTGATAATTCGCAGCTATCTAGGTCCTCTACTGCGTTCACCTTGATGCTACTGCAAACGGCCTTTGTACGGAAGAAATGAACCTACGCGAAGCGGGATGAAAACGGGATGAAAACGTACCATCAAACCATCCGCTATTGCTATAGGAATGTGCCACTTTCAGCTTTTCAAATCCGGCCTATAAACAAACAGTTTAGTTCACCCACGTTGCGTGGCACTTGAGATGAATATTGGAGCACGTCGGTGTCGTATCTTTTCGCCTAATCATTTTCCGGAGGCAGGACCAGATTTTATGTTGTAAAGACAATTTATTATACATAAGTCGCTTCCAGTTGCTTATATTGCTAAATTACTACGGTATTTTCAATGTTCTTAAATATTTATTGTAGTGGGGCTTATATAGCTAGTCCGCAAGTTGCTATATAAATGTGTGCTTTATAGAATATTGAATGTGTCAGTAAAACTATGCTTAGAGAGTATAGAAATATCGTTGCTCTCCATAATTCTCACGATATTCATTTTTTTCAGGAATGATATCAAGTGCTTTCATTTGGGGCTATCTCTGCGACACCTTAGGTCGAAAGAAACTTTTGGTGGTAGGATACCTACTTGATGGATTGTTCGTCATTATATCAGCATTTTCGCAAAATTTTTATGTGCTCATCACCACAAAATTTTTAGGAGGGCTTATGTAAGTTTATTAATAAAATCATTCGCTACAGAAATTAAAATGCTATTTATCTTTGACGCATAATTATACATCATTAAGAAACAGGTTTGCAGATCAATCTTCTTTGCCATTTTTCCTCTTTGTGTCACCTTTGTTAGAACTGTAATAAAGATGATGGAAAACTCTCAGGGTATTTATGAAAATGGTGAGGAAAACTCTCAGGGTATTAATGAAAATGGTGAAAGCTGATCCTAACGTTATAGACGCTTTTGTGATAATTGGTGAATGTGTATTTTTATATAGATACATAGGAAATACATAGTTGCACAGCCTTCTAGTAACACAGGTCCACAAAAAGTAGTGTGTGCGAGGAGCCCCTCTATATTTTTTCTATGGATTTTTTCCTGATAAACACAAATCTGAATTGGGAGGTCGATGGACAATTTTTTTGAAAAATCTATAAAAACGAACTAAAACTAAATCATAATCTATTGACATTCCCTTATATACCAATATACAGGGTGGCGCGTCGATTTTGTTTTCTAGGGGGACACAAGTTTGGCAAAAAAATCACGTTAACACGTGCAGCCCCCTGGGCGGGGGTGACACCAACCCTAAAATCTTAAGTGGAAAGGGGGGTCGAGTGATACCTTATTTTAAAGGTCTTTCAATTCCCTTTATAATGATGTAAAATACATGAGCTTCAATTTAGTAGTTTTGAAGATTTATTGATTTAAAGCTTAAAGTAGACTTTAATAGGTACTACTTAAAGAAGAAATTTGACTAAAAGAATTTACTTAATATGTAAATGTTTTTCTTCACTACGCCCATGGTTTGTTTATCATTTTGTTGTTGAAAATAGCTATTGCAGCGTTTTTTTGTGGCAAAAAGTTATTTCTTCAAGAAAGATAAGGAAATATCTCGTACTTACTTTAAATAGGAGTTTAGTGCATAGTTTGCGATTGATTTGACCAAACTTTGTTGCTAGAATAAGTTGTAACGCTTTATCACATAAATTAACCATGGTAGATTCCACAGCAGAAAGAGTTGAAATTATCGAAATATTTTTCGGAAATAATCAGTGCGCTAATAGAACAGCAGAAATATTTAATGACCGACATGAGAACAGTAACGTGCATCAAAAATATGTTCTAGAACTTGTAGCTAGATTTCTGGAAGCTGGGTCAGTCGCCAATAAAAAACGCAACATTGAAAATCCCGTAAGGAACGAAGCAATAGAAGTGGGGGTTTTAGGGCAAGTTTATGTAGATCCTACGTTAAGTACCCGCAAATTGGAGACTGTGCGTGGTGTTAGTCGACGTACTCTCCAACGGATTCTGAAGGCCCATAGTTTTCATCCGCATAAAATTCACCTGGTACAACTTAATGAAGACGATTTTGATTGGCGATTACAATTTTGTGAAGATATGAGTGAACGAATTATAAACGATGAACATTTTATATTCAACACTTGCTTTTCCGACGAATGTTCCTTTTTCTCAAATGGCGTAGTAAATCGTCATAACTGCCGATATTGGTCCGATTCTAGTCCCAGAACTTATCGTGAGGTTCATACACAACAGCCACAAAAATTAAATGTTTGGGCTGGTATTTTTGGCGACCATTTAGTTGGTCCTTTTTTCTTACCTGGAAATTTGACCGGTGAAATATATTTGGAATTACTGGAAGACGCCATAGATCCTGCATTAACAGCCATAATTGAAAATCAGAATGATCGGCGGTACATTGCGAATAGCTTGATGTTCCAACAGGATGGTGCCCCACCACATTACGCATTACGTGTTCGACAATATTTAGATCAGACGTTTACAGATCGATGGATTGGTAGAACAGGTGCCATTGAATGGCCCCCGAGATCGCCAGATTTATCACCTTTGGATTTCTTTATGTGGGGTAATTTAAAAAGCAAAATCTATGCTACTCAACCCACATCATTAGAAGACCTGCGACAAAGAATTGTGAATGAGTGCCTTCAAATTACTCCTCAAATATTGCAAAATGTGCGGCACGTTTTGAGCAAAATCTTTATTACTGCATGGAGAGTCATGGTGGCCATTTTCAACATTTACTTGAATAACAGGTCAGTTCATTCTTCATTTTTAAATTCTTTTGCTACCAAATGTATTGATCTCCACTAATGATGATGTATTAGTTTTATTTACGCTTTAAATCAATAAATCTTCAAAACTACATTGGTTTCATATCATTATAAAGGGAATTGAAAGACCTTTAAAATAAGGTATCACTCGACCCCCTTTTCCATTTAAGATTTTGCGGTTGGTGTCACCCCCGCTTAGGGGGCTGCACGTGATAACGTGATTTTTTTTGCCAAACTTGCGTCCCCCTCGAAAACAAAATCGACTGGTCTGAGCGTTTTTCAAAAAAAACTGAGCTACCATTAAATGCGTCTGCTTCGTTTTCGATGCGCCACCCTGTATGTACTTTTTCGGCTACAATTGTCTTCGAATCATGTGTAATAATTAGTCTTTATCAAACAAACATTATTAACATTTAGATAAGGAAAACTGAAACAGTACTACATTTGTCTCTTAAAACACAAAATAAATACCTTGTCTTTTGTTTCCAACATTTTGTTACAAAAATCAGATAATAAAACAGAAATAACTCCTTATGGCTTGTTTCACCAATACTATTTAGCGTTAGTTTAGACGAAAACAATTTAAAATTTTATAAAGGGTGTTTAACTTTAATGGTAAAATTTTTACAGTTCGAAGATCGTCTATTTCATTTTTAATCTTTAAAAATGGATATTATTGGTCATGATAATATTTTAAACGATGACTTGAGTATCTTCAAACTAATCAATAGTGGTTTTCCATAAGAATTATCCAAAGGCCCAAAACAAAAACTAGTTGTTAGAAATTAGTAACTATGACATTTATTAAGAAAATTTAGTTTGTACAGTTTAGAATATTCTGCCTGAAATTGAGCTTGAACTGGAATTCCCCAATAATTTGTTAGCCATCGACCATCTTGAATCACATAAAAAATTCCTAGATTTCTGTAGTCTTAAAAACACAAATTCAATGTTGGTGCGCAGGCCATTAAAACGTTATCTAATAATCATAGATGAACAGACTGATATGACATGAATAACAATTTTTCAACATCTTCCCCTTGCAAATTTGACTTTTGCTCTGAATAAATTTTCCCGAAGGCGCCAAAAAATATAAGACCATAGTTTCGGTTTCGGTTGCAGTTTCGGAGGATTTTCTGCTAAACCAAAACTCTGATTTTGGACCGAAACTGGCCGAAAGCAGAAACCGAAAGTTCGGTCGGACACTAAAAACTGGCGTCCAAGTTACTTCCATACAAATTAACTGACTCCAATTTTCACTTCAGATTCATGTTCCGCGAAAAAAATACATGGGAAACATGTTCAAACACATCATTTTTTTATCATTGTCATGCGATAACGAGTTTCTTCTACCGACAACTTACACCCATTGTACTCAAAGACGCAGACGCAGAGGGGTATCGCTGGCATCTTATTTTATCAATGCAGATCTTCGCATCGGTCATCGATTTATTTCAGTAATTCTAATTGTAGATTTCTGATATCATCTGGAACGTTTTGGTCTCCATTTTGGTCGGTTATAAAGTTCTTTAATCAGGATTATAAAGAGTATTGGCGACTCGATATCGATATAAAACTCATCAAAATTACTTTGGAAGTATTTTCACGAATTGATCCTTAGTATAGCGATAATTATGCTCATTAATTATTTTTTATGAGAATATTTCATTATAAATATAAAATATTTCATTGTAATGAAAGGCGTTCATATTTAGTTTAAGTAATACAAACAGATATTTTGATCGCAATGTTAGTATATAGAGCCTTGTTCTTTGAAAAGCAGCTCGGAAGGGTTTAATAAAACTTGACTTGAGTAAATACTGATTAACTTAGCAATAAATAAAAATACTCATAACTTGCATGATAGAACAAAGTGTTACCTAACAACTTGTTACATTATTCCAGTAAATAAAGGAATAATAACTGTATTTGTTAGCGTGGCCTTCATGGTCCACCTATCTTAACATAGATGGAAATGTTACAGCCAAGTAACAAATTTAGGTGTTAATAGAAATATCGTGTACTAATTCTGAATTTCATTTCAGTATAAATGGACCGTTTGCAGCACTGACATCATATTTATCCGAATTTCACCGTGCAAAGCACAGGGCAAGGGTCCAAATGGTCGTGGGCTTCATTTTTAGCCTTGGAAATCTTCTACTGCCGATTCTTGCACTTTTTATACTTCCTATACAGATGGACTTTCAACTAGGAGAATGGGGTAGGTCAATTATTCCTAACTACGAGGGTGAATCAAATATGAACCGGACTTTTAGTAATTTTATTGGTATAGTAAAGTTTATTTACATCTTATTTTTCTACATAATCTCCTCTCTGATTGATGCATTTTTATCATCAGATCGCGAGTTTTTCAAATCTCCCATTAAAGAATGAAGCTGGTCGTGTCAGTAGCCAGTTGTGCACGAATGTTTCCACATCTTCGTCGTCGTCAAAGTGGTGACCTCCCAGATCTTCTTCAAGGGCCGTATCGTCAGTCGTTCCTACAATTGTAGGATGCCTTTATGGAATCCTTAATTGACATAGTATTTTCTCTCCTTCAGAAAGGCTGGAATATTCCTAGATTTCTACGGTTCCGTGTCAGCGTCAGCGCTCTCTTATTGTCAGGCTATGCTTTCTCCTTGAATTGTAGGAAACTTCAGGCTATATAACAGATCATATAGGTCTCTGTATTGGGGCCGCTGCTGTTCCTCATATATACGTTCGACTTAAGCAAAAGTATTGATAATTCTCATGTCCAGTCATTTGCAAACGATATGCAGTTGCTCCATTATTTTAACCCAGATAATGTCAATAATACTACTCAAATTTTACAAAACGATGTTAGTAAATTAATTAAATACTCTTCAGATCACAATCTACAAAAATCTAAAATGTTATTATTTTTGCGCACAAAGAAAAGCATACAATGTAACACTTGAACATTCAGATAAATAACCAAATCTTGTAATTTTCTGATCCTGCAAAAATTCATGGTGTTGTTTTTGATACAAAATCAAAGTTTATTGAACATGTTAAAAGTCTTTCCCAGAAAACCTACCTACGGCTGCGTACTCTTATAAAAATGTTATTCAAGTTATTCCAAACAATTGTATACGTTTCATCTCGTAAATTTGATCATGTATCAGCGAAATATCCGATTCTAAACTGGTTAAAAATTAATGACATGGTCAAGTATCACTATTCAGTTTTTGTTCACAAATAGCTGCTCACGTCTAAATCATCTTACTTGAGGGAAAACATTTCATTTTTTAATAATGATAGAGTACTGTAGAGCTCGCAGAGAAAATAATATTAGAATACCCCAGCATACGTCTACACTTTTTAAGCGCAGTTTTTCTTACAATGTTGCTATTATTTATAATGACCTTCCTAGAGTATATAAAGAATTTCCATTACCTGTCTTTCGACAAAAAGTTAAAACAATATTACTCAACCCTCCAATATAATTTACGTAATCATTCAATTCATTTTTATTCCGTCTTTAATTCAGGTTAATCATTTGGGTTTGGGAAGTATGCCTTTTCCTTTTTTCAATTTTTTAATTTAATCCTTGACCCCTCTATAACTTGAAAACTACTACTCGGATGTTGATGAAATTTCGACAGAAGGTTGTGACTATGACAAGGACCAAAACCTTGTGGTTTTTGATAATAATATACTGTCCTTACATTTACACAAATTTATTCGGAAATCATCTTTACCTAATTATCAAAGGCCTAGTAAGGTATCGATTCAGAGTTTTTTGAATAGACGAATAGATATGGCTATTTTTGTTATAACATGCGCGCTGTTCCTCTTTCGTTTTAGTAGCTACTAATACCACAGTGTACGTTAAAAATACATAACTAAAAGATCATGAACTTGATGCAGGTAATATGACTTTATATTTTACACGCGATTGCTTTGGTCGATTTTTCTTAATCATAGTTACTGGAAAATAATCTAATTGATGACAGAATTGCATGGAAAGTACAGGCTAAATTTTTTTCAGTGCTTCATTCATGGAATGTTTACTTATTGATATGCGCTATTCCTCCTCTGATAAGTGGGTTTGCCTTTACGTTCCTACCCGAAAGTCCCAAATTTCTGATGACAGTTGGCAGAAACGAAAAAGCGTTGAGGATTTTCAAACGTGTGTACCGCATAAATTCCGGCAAACCAGAAGAAACATACCCAGTAAGTATTACTACATTCTGTTGAACATTTTACACCTTGCAACGAATGTTTCATGTTTTTCCTCCAAAGAATATAATTTTTAATGCTTTTACGTTTCGTTATGAGTGAGAAGTAGCTAAACTAAATAAAAATATAAAATTCAGCAACAAAGCCGTGACGTGAAAAGTTCTAGCACGAGGAAAATTACGTTTTAATAAACGTCAGCTTAACATGAAGTGTAGTCACGTTCTTACGGTATCCATAATAAAAATGAAAACCCATTGGTTGTTTCCTCCGAAGCGAAGCACAAAGGATTTAAATCAATCATTTTTCAACGTAAAAGCTTCAGATATGTTTTTCCATCACATCATCTTCAATGAATGGGTATAAGCAATATTTTTCAAATGCATTTTTTCTACACAGAATACCCGCTTATGAAATAAATAGCATTCCCCTCCTCATAGCCATTGATAAGTAACAGACTTCTATCGATTTACAGATCAAGGAGTTGATACAGGAAAGAAAAAATAACGATGACATAAGCTACGTGACTGCCGATAGATCCAAAATACAGGCTTTAAAAGAAGGCTGGAAACAAATACTACCTCTATTTTTTCCTCCTCATCTTTTTAAACTTATTATAGTTTGCTCAATACAGTTTTCACAAATGATGGGGTAAGTATACTTTAGATCCTGATATTTCTGAATATTATTGTTGAAACACCAAATTGCACATTTACTTCATGAGTTTGTGAAGCGTACGTTTTGTATTCAATGCCAAAAGAGAAAATAAGTCGTTACAATGGCCAACAAATTAGAGATGCCAATAAAATTTAATTTAAAATATATAGATGGGTAGGAACTCGGACAGTATTGCGTATGTGAATTTGGATTATTAACTTTGGCACCATCGAAGTATAAGTATTCTACCTACACTTTCAAAATTATTGGAAAAAGCTTCAAATAAATGACAATATTTTAGAACATGGGATTCTACCGGAAAAACAATGTGGATTTCGGAAAGGTCAGTACGGCAAGTGCCCTCATCGATCTTATTGATAATTTCGTCAGAGCGTGGGATCACCACTTAGTTACACCAGTTCTCTTACACTTCACAAAGGCATTCGATACAATAAATCACTCTCTTTTGATTGCTAAATGCAAGCATTATCGTTTAGATGATTCCTCGCTGAGTTTAATATGCAGCTTTCTGATATATAGATCTCAAAAGGTAGTCGTTGATTTAGAATTTTCTACAGAACGTCTGATTTCGTCAGAAGTGCCTCGAGGATCAGTTCTTGTGAAATTTTGTAGTATTCAGTTTTTTGCTGCCGACTTACAATTGTATCATAGCTTCGATCATGAAAATTTAGAAATGTCGGAAGCACAAATACTAGAGGTCTTAGATTCTATTGAAAATTATGTAACAGAACATAGTCTGCGGTTAAATCCCTGTAAATCTAAGTTTTCTTCTTTTGTCTTCTAAAAATCTAAGGTCCCTTATTAAAGATAGTTTCAACATTAAACGGCTATGCTATTCAGACAGAAGAATCAGTTAAAACCTAAGATTTGTTATGTAAATAATGTAACTGAAAATTTACTGTTTTACAGCATTTGTACTTAAATAAGTAAATACTTACTTGATTTTAGATCCAAAAACATTTTATGTGAATATTTAATAATATCAAAAATCTACATATCGTGATTTAGTATACTATCCATTTCTAGATTCAGTTCCAGCTAGAGGTTTACAAAAAATTCAAAATTCATGTTTAATATTGATTTTCAACTTGGAAAACAGATCATATTAGTTCATGTTTCGAACAGCTGAACGGGTTGAACGTTACAAAGTTGTATAAGTTTAATTTATTATGCTATTTTCACGAACTCCTACGTACTTCGATTCTCCCATTTTTGAAAAATAAATTGATATCTCATGAATATACCCATTCAAGGAACATTCGATTCACTGATACTAACTATAACTTCTTTATTTTATAAATGCTTTACCTATAATGCCATCAATCTATATAGTGCATTATCATCGACTGCTAGACATTTTGATTTCAATAATTTTAAAAAGCAAATTGAGCAAATTATCTTTGATGTTCAAATCTGAAACCCCCAGTACATAGTTCAGCCATGTTTCTGCATATGACATAAATCGTTTATAGTTTGTTTTTTACACTCATGTGTACGTTGTATTCAATGTCTAATTTTTGTTCAAATTTTGTAAGAAATTTTGTTGATTTTTTTTTCAATATTCTAGTGCGTTATTTTCAAGGGTTAAGTGGTGTAATAGCTTGTAGCTAAACTTCGCCGGAAATAAAAGTTATATGCAAATATCGTTTAAAAAGCTACAGTTTCCAGTCAAAGTTTCATTCGCTCTCACGATAAATAAGTACCGGGGTCAAATAGTGTTTTCCCATGGGCTTATCTCAATCTAACAGACCACGAAGTCTTATTTTTAGGTTAACTTTTGATGTAACTAATTGTCAATAAAAAAATTACCCCATGTGTCCTTCCGATTTTTCAGTTTTATTTTACTCTCAAAAATACAATCCCATTGTAGCATGTACGTTTTTTCACAATAAATCAATTTTCCCTTACTTAACCTGATGTATTTTGCAGACTCAATACTCTAAGATTGTGGTTGCCGCAAATATATCAAGCCATAAACGATTATCAGTATTATTCGACAAGTAACAACAGTACAAGTTTGTGTGATATGTTGAAAGTTTTCCAAACTCATAATGAATTTAATTCAACAAAACCGTGTGAAGTGGTAAGTTTATTAGTAGAACATGTTGAGTTACAGGAAAATTGTATTTCTGACGACGGAGATAATTTCCAACATAGCATATGGAAGACGCTAATTAAAGACAATAATCTCCCCATTTTATGTCACAGCTTTTGTGCTGGTGCCACTCATAGTTCCTTTATTTTTGATCGAAAGTTATGATTAAGTGATTATCATTAAGTAAAAAGATACTTGCTCTACAATTTTCTTTTCATTAGTCAAACCTTTTTCTTTTAATTTTTACATGATTCTATGCCAAACTCAAATGGCTGACTCGGGCACAGTTCATTAAAATTGGAATATTCTTCGGGTAAGAAAAGAACGTAATATAATGGAACAACAATAAGTTTGAGGTACTGCCAAATACTCGTGATTACGTTCATTTCTCATATACCGCCAATAAACTGTTTTTGAATCATCTATTTGACTGCAGTGGAATGTTGAAGTACAAATATCTCAGAAAGGGTGTGATTAATCTACATATATGTAGTGTGTTTTTCTTACTTAAAAATAACTCCTACATCATAATCTTCAATAAAGCATAATAGAATGTCACTAGCATTAATTTCATACTACAGGGTGAGGCAGAGGAACTTACTGATTTGAATTGGGCGCCCTAAAGTGGCGGTTGCTCTGATAGAAGTGGGGATAGGTAGATTCGAGAGAATGATATGTAAAGTTTTCGCGCCGCGTGGTGTAGTCACTAGCATTCAGTGGACGAAGGTGGAACGCGCGTTCGCCGTCAAAGCCTACTTTTCTAATGGTCTGTCGATCATAGCCACGCAACGTGCATTCCGTACTGATTTCACTATCGCGCCACATGGACGTGTTCCTGACCGGAAATCGATTCTATCATGGGTAAGCAACTGAAAAAAGCAAGTGCGTTGTCAGGCAGACCAAGAAGCGCCTCACATGCATTTTCTCGAACAAAGTTGCGCGGATCAATTTTATGCACTATGGCCAATTTATAGGGATGGAACCTTTGTTCGTCGTGGAGGTTGCGTCTCACAGAGCGAGCAGATATCGAAGTGCAGCTTCATGTTTGTGGATAGAGCGCCAAAGGGATCGCAAAACCGAACGCCTTACCATATCAATAAAATCCAAGCGCGAATGTGATGATAATTTGTTACATTATATTTTGGTTTATCAATTCATACGCCACTGAGCGTGTTGTGATCGAAATAAATTTCGAAAATGTACTGCTCAGATTTGGATGAAATTTTTACACAAGGTTACTACCATACCAAAGGCGAAAAAGCTTTTGAGTTTTTGAAAATTGATCCAGTGGTGGCGTAGAAAATGGCCAAAAACAGAACAAGAAAAATCTATCACACCTCGTTCTTCGTTTCAGACGATCCTGATCATTTTGGAAAAAAATAATATAAAATTCAGGAGGTGGAGAAGGATATATCTCAGTTTCTTTTATGTTAGTATAATTAAATATACGCTCCCAACCCGGGTACTTCTGGTTATATTTCATACAACACAGATTTCCCGGTACATTTGTTTTTGAAACTTAAAACGATAGAGAAATATTCTCCATACGTATCTCATTCTGCTGTGTGGGCTCAGCGCCGGCACTGCCGCGCCTAGCGACATGGGAAGGGGCAACATTCCCAAACGGACGGTAACTACCGACAAGGCATGGCAAGAATGTCTATGAACCATACAATTAGTATGGGTCTATTTTACTGACGATCCGTTCAATTTCACTATATTACATCTTCGTAACTATTTTTTTCTCAGAGGGTTTAACTTGTACTGAACTTAATGCTTTATGAATTGATGCCGGCGTTGAGTAGGAAGTGCAGTCATCCTACTTGACGCCAATTTGTTTATATTTATATAGTCTAAAGTAAGGTATGCTATTTAAGATACGTTCAAATTTGAAAAAGTACTTGCAGTACTTTTAAATGGAAACGTATCTGACCAGAAACGGAAACGGTCAGTAACATAATTAGTAAAACAGCTTTCGTCTGCCCGACCATGGACAGCTATTTCGTGCAATTTTTCAACAACGCCTCAGTATGGTGTAGGGTTGGTCCCAGTGGACAATAAACGATTACTGGGTAGCTCTACTCTAGTCAGAGTATGAGGTCTATCGAAAAAAGAGAGTAAAGTACCATCTTATACCGGAATCGACTACTACGAGAGTGAGAATATCAAGCTGTCTGTTAGCCAGTTTGTATTGACAGCTGGGTCACCACTGTGCTCGCCCATCCTGATGCTATAGTAGATACGGTCTCTCCCCAATTAACAAAGTAGTGATACATGTTCCCGGTACTTGTGCCACACCATGTTGAAAATCGCTTCCATTTTTGACATACGTATGTACCGGCGCATCTTGCGACGTAAACTTACACTCGAAGCGTGCCATTAAGTTTTAAATGCGCCGCAGAAAATGCCCTCAATGAAGTTATTATAATATTTAAAAAAATAGTGGTCGTAGCCTCTACCGTCGGGTGTTTATATTTAATAACTACAATGTATAATCATAATATGTATTGTTCATCGTTGCAGAATGTTCAGAATACCCAAGTGTACACAAATTCCATGATTGTTGCTGGAGTAAGTATTGTAGGATATATAGCTGCAGGAGGCCTTATAAATATAGTGGGGAAGAAGAAACTACTTAGTAAGTATCGCCAGACACTAGCCATTTTACGTATTTGTCAACCTCCTGATCATTTATAGACATAGTCAAGGAAAATGTTTTCATATCCTTATGATACATATGCAAAACGACCAAAAAACGTGAATATTTTGAAATAGTGAGTCAATCGATTCGACTGTAGATACAATATCAACTTAAATGTTTTAGTCGAGGAACAATAGCTCATCCACTAAATACTTTGCTCATTTTGCATGCAGAAATTGATAATAAAGTTCTACATTGTTTTCTTTTAAAGATAAGTCACGAACTTCTCTCAGAATTTGCAGCTAAACCATTTATATGTACAGGCAGACTTTGCTATATCTTTAAAAGGTACTATACTCATGGTAATAATACATGAATTTCATCAATAAGTTTTTTTATTCAACTTAACATTACCAGAAAGTAACAGCGGTAAAGGATTCGAATTTTGAAACAATTGTTTACAATAACACAAGTTCTTTGTCTCTGTCTTTGTCTCTTTGGCGAAAAGTATTGACACGAAGGAAGCAGTACCGCGCTACGTAACTGCGCGTTAAGCGTCGCTATCATATGTTTTCAAAACAATCGACTCCTTTCGAATAGTCTACGCAAGATGTCGTACTTTTCACAGACGCATATCTTAAGGTATGTTTACATCCGTCTTTTGAAATGACAATAGCACGAAGGAAAGTTATTTTCAACAACATTAAAAATGGCGTAAAGTATTATGACTTGGTACTACCCACGCATTGTTATAAATGTATGTTTAAATTAGGTTCGTTATACGAAACAACTTGAAGCAGTACCAAAATGACTGTCATGTTTGAAAAACATTAAAAAAGTTTCCTGTTTGCCTAAAAAATGGCGTCGAGCACATGACTTCACAAACAATTTGATTGATTGGTACTTTCTAGGTTTATCGAAATGCACTCATAAATTACGCATATAACCACATTGTGGACGGTGTTTCTGGTGCTACTTCAAAATGACTGCTGAAATCGCAAACCATGGTTTAAAAACATCATGTAGTCAAAATATTATACGTAGTAAATCTGCAACTTTTGCCTACTACCTATCGATTTTTTCAGTTTCCTCAAAACAATTATTGTACATTCTGTGTCTCAATATGATAAATTGAAAGTTAATATGTAACTCGAAATATGAAGTTAAAAATTATTATATATTATTAGACCTGCAGTTATCAGAAACTTTAAAAACGTACAAAAGCGGTATTTGAGGATATTCTACAAATTGGGTTATCTAATTTTTGAAACCTGCAAATTTTCTTCACCCTGAGTCAGATGTAATCTTTTGAAAAACATTCTTAGTACTCCCTTTTGAGTTATGGAAAAGCCAATGATTAGAGGAGAGCCGACAGATCGACAGAAATCTGGGGTCCATATAATGACAACATACAATTTACATGTCTAACTTGTTAATGACTAGATACACACATGGAAAACCTAAGCTTCGTAAACTATCTTACAGGCTTTCCCGTACAACACTCATCTTGCTTATTAGTATATGAAGTAAAAATACAGGGCGGCCCATCCATGTGTGGACGGAATATTACTCATAAACAAATACATTTTGGGAAAATCTATTTATGGCATGTTATACATGACATTTGATGGCACATTTCTAAAATATTGGTAATTATACCCAACTTTGACCCACATATCAAAGTTGTGATTTTTTAAATGGAATGTTATTGCATTTTGGATAAACCAATTCAAAAGAAGAAGATTGACACAACATACTATAGGGTTTTGGTAATTAGCTACTGAGATTTAAGGTGTTTTGTCTAGAAAAACCGCCAACTTCGGCAACCCCTCAATCCGCCATTTTGAAATTTGGAGTACTGAATTTTGTATCAAAAAAAACTTACGCAGCTCAGCTTTTATCTTATTTGTCAATTTTTTTAATTTTCTTTTTTGCTCATACAGGGTGGTCAAAAACGCGAATTGTACTTTTTCTCAAAAATTTCAAATGCATCACCCTGTATATTGGTGCAAGTTTGGATTCAATTTTTTATAAGCTTTTTTTGTATGAGGTTTGATTCTGATAAAATCACTAGATTTTGAGTTATTAAGCTTTTAATAGAACACACCAAAATTAAGAAAATAAAAGCACACCACCCATGGAAACAAAAGACAAATAGTGGGCTAGTTCGATATTGCCACTGAGAGTACAGATTTGACGTAAAAACGAATAACAATCAGAACAGTATAAATCAGCTTCAAGCGTAATAGAGAAAAATAACTTTAACAACAACACAAACAAACAACTAGCACCACTCAAGACTACAAAAACTGCTCGAAAATACCTCCACCATGGTGAATACACAGCCGTAGTCTTTGGATAAATGACTGTTGCACATCCCTCAACATGTGTTCCCTTATGTTTATAGAAGCATCCTTAATCCTTTCCTTCATATTTTCAGGGGTAGATGGTGGATATCTATAAACCTCTTGCTTAACGTAGCCCCACAGAAAGAAGTCCATCGGTGTCATATCTAGTGATCTAGGAGGCCAAGATGTAGGTCCATCACGACCGATCCAACGATTGTTACTCCAGGTGCCCAAGTAGTTACGCACACGATTATGATAATGCACAGGTGCGCCGTCATGTTAGAAGTACATATGCATCCGAGTTTGCAGGTTGACATCCTCCAAAAGCAAAAGCAAATGCTCGATCAAAAACTTCCACTAATCTGTTGTCGAAAAAGAAAGGCCCGATAACTTGTCTGCCAATAACTCCTTCCCAAACATTCAAGCTCCATTATTTTGGAAATCTATTTGCCTAACCCAGCAAGGGTTTTCCGTCGCATAGTAGTTCATGTTACGCCTGTTGACAACACCTATGCTGTTAAAAGTTGCCTCATCGCTAAAAAGAACCTTATCCAGGAAAGCAGTGTCTTCACTCACTTTATTTAGCATTGTTCTACTAAGCTCCATTCGAGCTGCGAAATCCTGAGCACGAAGGCCTTGATGCAAGCATAGGTGATATGGATGGTACCTATGCTTGTGAATAATCCTTTGGACAGAAGTTCTGCATATATCAGTTTCTGCTCCAATCTGCCGTGCACTTAAATAGGGATTTTCCTGCAACTTTAATAGAACCTCCAACTGATTCGCCTCATGGGTGACACTTGGATTATTTATACATTTTTTACTATATTCCACTGCTCCACTTGATTTAAAACGTTCTCATAGTATGGAAAATGTTACCGGCCTTGCATGTCGCATATTAGGCTACCGTTGCTTATAAATGCGAGATACTCGGAAACTAATTCATTTTCAAACACGTTTTTATTATATAGCTCACAAAGCTAATTTTGGCAGTTTGTAACTAATCAACAATTTATTTGTTTCCACGGATGATGCGATATTTTAGGAGAATTAAGCCGTTCCATAAAAGACGTGTTAATAACCAAAAAAATAGCTGTAAAAACCCTTATGTGTCTAGTATCAAAAAAAAGCTTATAACAAATTGAATCCAAACTTGCACAAATATACAAGGTGAATGCATTTGAAATTTTTGAGAAAAACTACAACTTGCGCTTTTGACCACCCTGTGAACAAAAATTCGAAAAAGTAACAAATGAGATAAAAGCTCAGGTGTGTAAGTTTTTTTGATACAAAACTCAGCACTCCAAATTCCAAAATGGCGGACTGAGGGGTTGCCGAAGTGTTTTTTTTTTTAAATAAACACCTTATATCTCAGTAGCTGATTACCAAAACCCCATACTATGTTATATCAATTTTCTTCTTTTGAATTGGTTTATCCAAATATGCAACCAAATTTGAGGCATTCCATTTGAAAAATCACAACTTTGATATGTAGGCCGAAATTGGGACACCCTGTATAATGGCCAATAGTTTAGAAATGTGCACTCAAATGTCATGTATAACATCCCAAGAATAGATTTTCCCAAAATGTATTTGTTTATGAGTAATATTCCGTCCACACATGGATGGGCCACCCTGTACATGGAAAATGTAACATAATCAAATACGAGCCCCTTCCCACTTCAGTTGGCCCACTTCAAGATTTTTACCAAAATATGCCTTTATAAACTAAACATGACGAAACTATTTACTTCTAAAGCAATTTATTTTCTCAAAAACATTTTAGATACACTCTAGTCATAAAAAAATACATATTTGAAATCACTTAGACCTATAACTAATAGAACATCTGAACAAATAATAAATGCGCGAAGTTAACAAAGCAACAATTGAAAGAATACCATTGGGTAACATCACCTTTATTTTTTAATACGGCTGAAATTTTTTGGGGCATAGTGTTAACCAAGTTTTGGCAAAAATTTGGTGTAAAACAATCCCATATTTCTTGAAGCATTTGTCTCAGTTCGGTGATTGTATGAGCAGGATGTTGTCGTAGAACCTTTTTCATCTGGTGCCACAAAGTTTCAATAGGTGACAGATCTAGGCTGCTAGCAACCCATTTCAAAAGTGGTACATTATTTTCTTCCATCCATTTTATAGCCTTGAGGTCTGGCACGCTGCAGCATCTTACTGAAACACAAAATCTTGGCCGGATGTCAAACATTCTTCCATCACTGGTAAAAGGGTTAATATCCCTAACATGAGTCATCGTAAGTTCCTCTTAATAACTGATTTGTTATAATTTTTTCAATGTAATTATCTGATACGATGCATTTGGCTACATATTTTTTACGGTTTGCACACTATATGAAATATTTATCTTCCATTTAGAACAAAATAACTGGGAAAATGCCACTGAAATGTCAGTCCCGTGCCATGTCCTAGCGGATGTCTCTTGATAATACCTGCCATTTTTTTCACACAAGTACTGTTTTGAAAACTTGATATACCTATATCGCAAGTATGCACATAGCTAACCACAATATAGAAAATTGGTGAAACAAAAAGAATAATTAATTTAGTAATTTTTCGGAAAGCATTTGTCTCCAGCTATCTGGCCAGTCCCGTGCCGCGCCATATATCACGCCATAAAGTAGTGGTAAGTATGGTAAGTGACATCCGTATTATCCCAACTGGAAATTGTTAGTATTGGCTCAATCGTCGGAAGATGTGCACAGATTACTGATAGGTTAAGCAGGAACTGGGTCCGACAAGTAAAAAAGTGTCTTGGAAACCTGTCTCTTGTCAGTACCGTGGTAAGTGTTTTAAAGCTACTATTTTTTCTTTTTGCTTCAAATACCCCATGAGTACTTCGGGTATCAAAAACCATAATTGTCATACTAAAATTAATTAGAAATTTTGAACCGATTACTTTTTTTGTTGCTGTAAGTGCAATAATGTCAGTCCCGTGGTTGTAAGTCCCGTGTCATTGCGAAAACACGGAACTGACTGTGTGACACGGAACTGACTTGATTCCATTTTTTTCTCTATAAAACTATAGCAAACATGCATTGATGCAAGTATTTTTTACAGTTCACAGGTCTATCTACTAGTCTATAGCAGGGTGTAAGATGTCTGGACATAGGAAAATATCTGATGAAGAAAGAAAGCGTATTAAACGTGACCGGGAACGAGAACGGAGGCGTAAAACAAGAGAAGATCCGGAAAAACGTGAGGAGCAGCGGGAAAAAGAGCATCAGAAATACTTGCGTCAACGAAAGAATAAACAAAGGAAGCTTGTTTCGGAAATGACAGAAAGAGAAATTAGATCGCAACGCAAGAAATGGAGACAATATACAAAGTCTCACCGAGATCGATTAAGACTAAGATCATCCGAAAACGCACATGTTCCAGATCATTTAACGAAACAGTTAGATGGAAGAAAGGAACATGCAATAAAGAAAAGTAATAGAATGAAACTTAAGCGACATCGAGAAAAAAGAAAAAATGAAGCTAAAATAGCAGACCTTAAAAAAAAAGTTGGAAAGTGGAAGAAAAAGTATTCTCGCCTAAAGAAGTCAATGCATCAAAATAAAAATGTTGCTCAACAAACTAGTTCCCCATCAGTTTCACCTGGAACTAGAGTACAACAGATCATAGAAAGGTCTTCAATACAGCAAAAAAGAGTAGATGAAATTAAGAAACAACTTATTTTTGGGGAGACCATCAAGGACCAGCTGTCAGAGAGTTATAAATCGTTAAGCCCAAAAGAAAAGAAGGTATTTAGGAAAATAATGGATGGAAAAATTATTAAGAAGTACAAGCTTCAGCGAACGTGTTCCAAAGTTTTTCGATATACAAAAACAAGAGTAGTGGAATACAGCCATAGGAATGTAGATGTTAAGTATCAGAAAAACCGAAGAGCATCTGAAAATAGGAATAAAATTGTGGCGTTCTTACAGGAAGATGTTAATAGCCGGATTTGCCCCGGTAAGAAAGAAACATTCACCTATCAAAAAAGATATTTAACAAACACTTTGAAGAATTTGTTCAAAGAGTTTTGTAAAAAATACGCCGATGTCAAGGTGAGTTATACATTTTTCTGTAAATGTAAACCTTTCTGGATAAGGTTTATGAAGGTAGCAAATCGAGACACGTAAATGTATGACACATAGTAACATGGAGGTGATTGTATTATCTCTTTGGCAAAGTAAAGTGTTGCATTGCAAAACTACAGAAGCAATAATTGAGTCAATGACATGTGAGACCCGCAATGACCTATGTCTACTAAGGAAATGTTCAGTGTGTGCATTATATAAACCTAAATATATTGAGCAGTACGATCCTGGTAACGTTGTATCATATAGTCAGTGGAAAAACATAAAACAAACTTATTTCAGCAAACGATCACAAAACAACGTTACCAGTTTGAAAATTGCTAAAATTAGTCAAGAGATAGAAATTTCGGATCTTTTGACCAAATTTGAAGATAGGTTGCCTCTTTTTTTGGCACACGAGGGACGCATTTTTCACCAATACAAAGCAATCAAGACACTGAAACAGAACATGATAAATGAGGAAATACTCATTCACTGTGACTTTTCTGAGAATTATAATCTAAAGTACGCAGAAGAAGTCCAGTCTTATCATTTTGGAGGATCAAGGCAACAGATTACGTTGCATACTGTGGTAATTTATAGCCGAGCACACGAAAACGACTTGAAGGTTGACAGTTTTTGTACATTATCAGAGTCGTTGGAGCATGGTCCCGGTGCCATATGGGCTCATCTGTTTCCACTGATCAAACTCTATATTGATAATGGGGTAAAATTGTTGCATTTTCTTAGCGACAGCCCCAGTACACAATACCGCAACAAGAAAATGTTTGCATTCATTACAAATGGCATCTATAGCTACTTTCCGGAACTACAATCAGTTACCTGGAACTACCATGAGGCCGGACATGGTAAAGGTGCCCCGGACGGCATTGGTGGAGTTTGTAAAAGGACTGCAGACCGTATTGTTGCTCAGGGATCTGATGTGAGTTCTTTCAGCCAATTGGTTGAAATCCTGAAAGCCAACTGCTCAGGCATATCCTTTTTGGAGATTCATGCTTGTGAAATTGAAAAATTTTCAGATGCTATAAATAAAGCTGAGGTTCTGCCATTTAAAGGAACTTTGAAGGTTCGTCAAGTAAGATCTCTAAGAGACCACAACACACTATCTCTAAGAGAGCTCTCCTGTTTCGACTGCGGCGAAAGATGTCTACATTACACTATTGGAACTTTATCTTATAATTCGGTAACGAAAAGTTCTGCGTCTGATGAAGAATTATACATTTTTGACAAAGGGAATAAAGCGAAGCTACATTACTACAATGTTTACAGTGAAAGTTCTTCAGATGATGATATTCCTTTGTCCGAGTGGAAAAAAAATGGTCAATTAGCAGCAGAGTTTCCAAGTAGCCGCTCAATATAACGTTATGTTTTTGTTTCAGAATACATTGTTTGAGTTTATTTTGTACCTGACTATTTTTTAATAAAAAATGCAAAGCATGTTTGCTATCCTGCTGTTTCTTTGTCAGTTCCGTGTAACCGTGTCAGTCCCGTGTATTGAGATTTTTGAAAAATGTTAAATAATTCAAAGTATACAAACTAAAATCTCGGTTATTGTATAATTTCCAAACAAACAAGCCATACTGCATTGAGTAAATGCACGGTCTTCTAAATACTAGATATTTTTTATGTGGCACATTTAGAGGACTTAAATGTCCCAGTGTGGGAATATTGACCCAAAAGCGGTTCTTCTAAAATTGCCAAATATTTGTTTGTATCCACATTTCCATCAATAAAATGAAGTTTTCCTACTCCTCTTGATGACATACTGCCCCAGACCATAATGGATGCTGGATATTTCACTTTTCTCTTCAGACAGTCAACATGGAATGCTTCATTTTTTTTGCGAATAACTCTACTGCGACTGTCACCAACACAAACTTCGAATCGGGCCTCATCACTCCATTGTATTGCACACCATTGTTGAGGTGTCCATTGTCTATGTCCTTTAACCCTTCTAAGCCAATTTTTCTTTTGCAGTGGAGTTAATAGTGGCTTTTCTTTGGCCTATGAACAAGTTGTGCAACTTGAGGGTTTTTACTTCACTTTTTTTTTATAAGAAAACTTACCTTGCAAGTGCTAAATCCCAGTTTGTGGGCCTCTCTATGAGTTGTGGACCTCGAAATTCTCCTTCCAACAGCGTCACTCCACAGAGCACTTAATTGTAAATAATTGGCACGTCTGTTTTTCACGATTATTCTTCTTAATGCTCTTCGGTCGGCATTTGTGATATTACTTTTTTTCACACATCGTGGCTTAATATTAACTGAACCAGTTACGTTATATCTTCTAACAATATTTCTCACACTGTACCGCGATAAGTCTAACAAAGTTGCAATTTCTGAGTTTGATTTCCCAGAATTAAAAAATTTAATTATCAGTAACCGAATTTTCTCACTAATAACCTTTCTTCTACCCATTTTGAAAACCTTAACTACCCAAAACTATTTCAAACGTATTCTGACAGCTGTGATTAATAAAAACAATTGTCATGGCTTTTATTTTTCACAGTCACCTATGCGTTTATACTTATTTTGCATTGAAATGAAAATAGGTTGATGTGCTGTAATTGCAACATGTGTTATTTTTATGCTGCAAATTTGATTAGGGACTGATAAAGTTGGTGTTTTCTACTATATATTATCAAAATATTCATTGTTAATATTTTAAACCTATAACACACTGCTACATTTTTATTATTTATGTTTGATAAGAAAAACACTAAGATTTTGATAGTTGGGCCAACTGAATATATACGAGTATTTTAAATTAGAGATTTGTAAAATTAATTTTGTATAATAGTTCCAAATTTTCGAAATTCAACACTCTTCTTAGTGTACTACTACGAGGGCTGTTTTTTTTTTCAACCTCCGATGGATCAGAAATAAAAGACAAGTAAATAGAAAATAACTATTTTATTACCGAAATGTATATACACTTATGTCTGCTTCTCAACATAATCACCTTGCAGATTGAGGCATTTGTTATACCTGTGAACAAGCTTTCCAATGCCCTCTTCATAAAATGTTGCCGCCAGTGAATTTAAATGAGCCTTGACATTATCTTGAAGTTCCTCAGTAGTTGGAAAATGCTGACCTCCTAGCCATCTTTTCAGTTCAGGAAAAAGATGGAAATCAATCGGAGCTAGATCGGGACTATGTAGTGGGTGGTCAAAAAGATTCCATCGAAATTGTCTAAGAAGTTGTTGGGATTCGCCGGGGGAATCAACAGAGGGGGTCATGTTTATGCGAATACAGCTCAGCACAAACTGGCTCCTTGAACTCGGCCATGAGCAATGATGTCGTGAAGAGGATGCGCGATAGACTACTGCGCACACCACCGACCTGCCACTTGTCTGGCCGCCGGGCCGTGAGATCGGAGGGTGAAAAAAACGGCCATCGTAGTTTAATATCCTGTCAGTAGTACTTTTTGGTGAAATCATTTTTTTCCCTTGCAGATATTCTGGGACTGATATCAGGAACAGTGGCAATAACAATGTATTATTCTACAAATGTTGTAACCACTATAGCGATGTCTTCTGTATTTGTAGCGTTAGGCAGTATTGGCATGCATGTCATCCTTACTGTTGTGGTAGATCTGTTTCCGACAACACTAAGGTAAACTTATATTTAAATTCTTAACACGTTATATTCATCAGAACGTTCTTACCAAAGAGGCGGCAGCGCGACTAGTTGCCGAAACTGCCGCGAGTCAATATGAGGTAGCTCACAGTTGTATATTTAAAAAACTGTTGATAATTGAATAATTACTTCTTCATCGCATTTTTATTTTCCGTGGGATTCAGTTAGATCAGCAGTAGTGAAAACTCTCTAGGAGAGCTAGAGTTGATGTAAAAAAGCTGTTCGAAGGGATAATATACGAACAAATCATTGAATTCATTGAAGAAAACAAAATTTTGACAAAATATCAAGCTGCATTTAGAAAAATATATTCTACAGGAATAGCAATCCAAATGGTGGTGGAAGCTGGAGAAGTATAGATGAGAAAGAATGCATTGTAACAGTATTTTTAGACTTCAAAGGGCACTTGAGGCTATAGTTAGGAAAAAATTGTTAAGCAAATTGCATCACTATGGTTTTAACGGATTAGTATTAAACATTTTACAAAATTATTTAGTAAATAGAAGTCAAAAAACTAAAGTTGAAAATATTATGTCAAGCGTTCAACATATATCAGTAGGGGTGCCACATGGGAGTAAATTAGGGCAGTCATTTATTATTTATACGGGTGTCCAGTGGGAAAGTTCACTTTTTGATTTAAGAAAAAAATACAAACTTGATGAAAAGAAAATATTTATTACTATCAACATATTCGTAAATTCGGCGGGTTTTATTTCTTAAATATCATTCCGTCCAAATGTTTGCCATCTCTTTGGACATACTCTTCTAATCGCGCGCAAATTCTGAAACACTCTCTTACAGAGTTCCGGAGTGATGTTGTTTATTTCTCATCGAATGTTGTCTTTAAGCTCCTCTAGTGTTCGTGGATTAGTGGAATGCACTTTTGACTTTAGATAACCCCACATGTTTTTTCTTTGTATTCATCTTAAATATCCAATATTTCAGGGAGTGCACAACTGGATTATAGTCTAGTAACAGTAGTAACGTTACATCAAGAGTATAATAATCATAATAAATGGGATATATGTACGTGTCAAATATTGTATGTTTATAAAAAACATCTAAGAAACCCCAATTTGAATTATATGAATATGGAATCTATACTTGTCATATCTAGTTTCCTGATATACTTTCAGATTATGTCGCATGCCTAATGAGCATTTTTAACTATAAGAACATTATTTATTGCATTCAATTTTATTCTAGAACGATGACCGTGTCTTTTACCATGATGTTTGGTAGAATAGGAGCGGGCTCTGGAAACTTAATTTTCCCGTATTTGCTGCAGTCCGGCTGTGCTCCGCCATTTTTAACTATAGGAACTGTGATGATGGGTAAGCATAACGAAATTAATTCTATAACAAAATTGATAATCTAGAATCGACCGATACCGATATATATATATACAGGGTGGCCAAACACGTGACGTCATAAAAAAAAATTAGATTCCCCACATCGAGAGGAACCCAAATCACCCCCATATATATGGTCCGATTTTGTTTAGTTTAGGAGTTATGATTTTTTTTCGGATTTTTCGAGAATTTTTGAGTTCTGTGTTTATTTTTACCATAACTTCGTTAATAATTGTGATAAATGCCTGCTTTTTTCACGATTATGTAGCTAAGACCTAAGGCTTAACTATCATATAATCATTCAAGTCATGTAACTAATACTACTTTTTAATTTTTTTCAAAATCTTCGAACATAACAAAAAAGTAAAAAAGTGCAACAACTTTGAACGTTTATAAAAAATTGAAAAAACATGTACTTACTATTCGTAAGTATCTTAAAAACTTTCTTACGGTATCAGCTATTTACCGTAAAAATTTCATCAACCTAGCTTTACTACATGCTACCGTAATTGTGGCTCAAATAGAACCGAACCCAAAATTGGATAACCCTCTGCTCAATAGAAATTGTTAGTTTCGGAAAAAAAATTTGCAAAAACCACAAAAACACGTTTGATTTTTACTGAACAGCAGATTATTATTCATTTATGTTATTTACAAGATGTTTTCAAAATGTCTGCCTCTAACAGAAATGCACAGTGTACACCTACGTATGAAATTTTGTTTTAAATCTCTAAATGCTTGTGTGTTGTTTTTCAACACATGTGTCGCTTCTTGAATTTTGTTCCTCAATGAATTTTCATTTGCACATTCTTGGGCGAATGTTATGTCTTTAAAATATCCCCAAACAAAAAAAACCAATGGGGTTGAGGTCAGGGGAGCGTGGAGGCCATCGTATCGGTCCGTTTCGTCCGATCCATCTGTCTGGGAACCCTTCGTTTAAGTAGTTTCGCACGATCGTTGCGTTGTGGCATGGTGCACCATCATTCTGGAACACCATGTTCCGTCTGGCTTCCAGGCTTGAATCTTCCAGCAATAATGGTAGGCTATTTTCAAGGAAGCTTTTGTAGGCTACCGAATCCAACCTTGACGGCAGTTCAAATGGACCGATAAATTCCATATTGAATATTCCTGACCACATGTTCACACTAAAACGGTGTTGAAATGTCGACGGCCTTGACTGGTGGGGGTTTTCAACAGCCCAAGTATGTAAATTATGGATATTGAATATCCCTGTTCTTTCAAAACGTGACTCGTCAGTCCATAAAATTTTATCAAAAAAATCGGGATCCTCTCGTTGTCTTCGCAGCATTGTCTCGCAGAAATCCACTCTTAACTGGTAATCTGAAGGCATCAACGCTTGAACTCTTTGAACATGATAGGCATGATAACCTTCTTCATGAAGAATATTTTGTATCGATGTTCGTGGTATTCTAAGGTTTTGTGCCATAGATCTCGTACTCGTTGAGGGATTCCGGCTAATTTCTTCAAGTACTACTTCTCTGCGATCCGGATCAGCTGTAGGATATCCTTCATTGCTTCCTCGTCCTGGAATGCGGCCTGCCATGAAAGTGTTATGTGTGTTAATAAAAACACGGTGGTCTGGGTAATGCTCAGGTTGTGGTCCGCCTCGGCGTATAAGTTGTTCCCGGTACGTCACGTGTTTGGCCACCCTGTATATATATACAGGGTTACAGGAAAAGTCGTGCTAGATCCGTTAAGGGCGTGTAGTACCCATCATTTCTGACTTATTTCATTATGAAACACCCTACCCTAAACTTAACCCTTTTCGAGATATTCAACTTTTAATGTTTTTATTGAAAATTGCCGATTTTTAGGCTACTAAATGTATTTATTTTTATTTTGTGTGTGTTATTATTACTATTATTGCATTTTAACATGTGTAATAACATGCTTTAGGACGTCAATCATTAAAATAGTCCATAAGTTAATTGAATAGGCCGTAGTAGATAAGTGAATGTTAAGAAATTGAAAAAAATATCAGAAAGTTTATTTTTCTCGAAGGGATATCTAAAAAAAATATTATGGCAATTGTTCGGCAGATGTGTTTTAAAATATCTATGTTTTATCAGCTATCTAACGAGGTATAACAATCTAGGATTTGTATTACATTTCGTAGAAAAAAAGTAGTTGGGACGCTCCAGTAGCAGTTCCCACGCCTATTCTCCTTCAAGTTTAGACGCACCGTGCGAGCGAGACATGACGATTTAATGTGGGTGCGAATGAAAGAAAACATATTATAATAACCGGTTAGGGCTGGAAATCCAACACGGGATGTTGTTTTGGTTGTTAGTCTGCTTTTGTGCTTCGTACATAGTAGATGTGATATCGTTTTGCTCTTTTCCTCGACTTGGCTACGATTCTGGACTATTTCTTCTGATTTGTGAATACTGTGCTTGTTCACTGGACTCTGATTTGTACTTGTGATACGGAAGTGTTGAAGATGACGTCCTACACACCTGAGGAATATGCTGATATGCTTATTTATTACGGATACTGCGATTGTGTATCTGCGCAAGCTCGCAACGAATACAGAACTCGCTTCCCCGGTCGTCGAGTGCCGGATGTGGCCGTTTTTAACAGAGTTTATCTAAGACTTCGAGAAACTGGCTCTGTTTTGAGACGAAATACAGACCTGGGAAGACCACGAATTTATGACAACGAAGAACTGCAGGACAATGAGATAGTGCAACGCTTTCGAGCGGATCCGACCATTTCCACTAATCGTGTTGCCCGTGATCTGGGACTTTCGCAATGGAGAGTGTGGTTTACAGTGCATACTGCTGGCCTATACCCGTACCATTACACGCCGGTACACACTATTGAAGAAGGAGACCCCGCGAGAAGGTTGGACTTCAGCAGATTTATGCTAAATGCTGACGTAGAAGACCCAGATTTTCTAAGAAATATCTTATGGACAGATGAATCGAAATTTGATAACGATGGCATAACTAACTATCACAACGCCCATTACTGGGCCCCAAAAGTACTAAGGAATCCCAATAAGAAAAGAGTGGCGAGGTCCCAACGAAGATTCAGCGTGAATGTGTGGATGGGCACTATCTCCAACCATTTGATTGGACCTTACTTTCTCCCGGACAATCTAAATGGGGAAAATTACGAAAACTTCTTGAGAGGAGACTTCAGAGATTTGCTGGATGATCTGCCACTCAACTTGAGAAGGGACATGTGGTTCCAACATGATGGCTGCCCTGCCCATTTCAGGAGAAGTGTCAGAGACTGGCTGGACACAAATTATCCAAACAAATGGATAGGACGAGGTGGGCCGTTGCCATGGCCAGCAAGAAGTCCGGACCTAACCCCCATGGATTTTCATGTGTGGGGGTGCATGAAAAGTCTTGTCTACAGCGAGCCAAATCCAGTTTCGTCTGTGGAAGAATTAAGAGAAAGGATTGTCGATGCAGCAAATCAACTAAGGACAACGTTGACCACTGCAGTTGTAAAGACTGGTCTCCGTAGAAGGATGCGACAATGTATTAGAAACAGAGGCAGCCATGTTGAACATGAACTGTAGAGTAAGAAAAAGTTGTGTGAAAACCTGATTTAATAAATGATATTCCATGCTTACCTATTGTTTTATTTTACTTTTTAGGGCTAAGTATCAATTTTCTTCTCCACTGTCGCCTATGAAACTAAGTTTTTTCAATGCATTTAAATAAAATCCTAGATTGTTATACCTCGTTAGATAGCTGATAAAACATAGATATTTTAAAACACATCTGCCGAACAATTGCCATAATATTTTTTTTAGATATCCCTTAGAGAAAAATAAACTTTCTGATATTTTTTTCAATTTCTTAACATTCACTTATCTACTACAGCCTATTCAATTAACTTATGGACTATTTTAATGATTGACGTCCTAAAGCATCTTATTACACATGTTAAAATGCAATAATAGTAATAATAACACACACAAAATAAAAATAAATACATTTAGTAGCCTAAAAATCGGCAATTTTCAATAAAAACATTAAAAGTTGAATATCTCGAAAAGGGTTAAGTTTAGGGTAGGGTGTTTCATAATGAAATAAGTCAGAAATGATGGGTACTACACGCCCTAAACGGATCTAGCACGACTTTTCCTGTAACCCTGTATACAGGATGTTTCAGTTTATTGTTGCATAACTTTAAGATTCGATAGAGCTTTTAAAATTAATGCATAAAGTCTATATAAGCATGGGTCGAAAAATGCGTGGCTTCCGAAATACAGGGTGTTTAAATTTACTTTCTAAAATAGTTTTTTTTAAATATTTCGAACAATATTTGATGTATAACAGTGAAAATTGGTATACAAGGGTTTTTTGGTACGACAAAACGAACCATGGGCATAGTTTTACTGTAGCCGCTAGAGGGCGCTCTCTACTGTACCTGTAGTGTATTAAAATGACCGAAAATTTTTTCTTAGTGCAATTTTTTGCTTTTTGAATAAAAAAACTGATTCTTCGCTCTTTTCAACATAAAAAAGCTCTCTTGTGAATTTTCGTTTTTGAGATATTCCGATTTTTAAGGTTCGATGCATTTATATGATAAAATAACGTTAAAAAGTCAGTATCTCGATAATTTTTAGAAGTAGGCTGTGCCTGCAAATATTTTTGAAATTGAAAGCAGAATAAGGTTAAACGTCAATTAGTTGGCAGTTAGTTTTGTTGTCTGTTGAAACCTGAAACCTTTTTTTGCAATTATGAATGCACGAAATTTAGTTTCTTTACCTGTTTTTTTTCTTGTAAGTTTTATAAAAATGCCATTTTTATTCTCCAATCAAGAGTTAGCGGATATTCATTTTGTGTATGGCTTTGTAAATGGAAACGCAGCAGAAGCAGCCAGAGAATACGCACGAAGATTTCCAAACAGACGACATCCAACTCGCTCAGTATTTGTAAGAGTGCATCGCCAAATAATTGAAAATGGTTTTGGAAATCTCCAAAGGGATCAAAACATAAATGTTCGTCAGCGCAGTTTTACCCGTATGATTCTGCGTAAGTTTGATAGAGATCCGACCACAAGTGTTAGGAGAGTTTCTGTTGGCTTGGGAATTTCAGCAAGCCATGTTCACCGTGTTCTTAGAAATGACCATAGACGTCCTTACCATTTGCAACCTGTGCAAGGACTACAGCCAGGGGACGGAGAACGAAGAATCACATTTTGTCAGTGGATTCTTGATAGAACTGATAATAATAGGGACTTTTTAAGTAACGTTTTATGGACCGATGAGTCATGCTTCACTAGACGTGGAGTGGTAAATTTTCATAATCAACATATTTGGTCGCATGAAAATCCGCATGCAGTTCGGGAAAGCAATTTTCAGCATGAATTTAGTGTGAACGTGTGGATTGGTATCTACCGACTATTTGGACCCTACCTTTTGCCTGCAAGGTTAAATGCTCCGACCTTCTTGGAATTTTTAAAGGCTGAACATGCAAATATGTGGGATGATGTTATGTTAGATTTAAGAAGATTGGCCTGGTTCCAGCTTGATGGTTGTCCAGCTCATTATTCGAGAATAGTTAGAAACTGGCTGGACGAAAATTATCCAGAAAGATGGATCGGCCGTAGAGGACCAGTCCCCTGACCAAAATCCATTAGATTTCTTTGTGTGGGGATTTCTAAAAGCAAAAGTGTACCAGACTCCCGTAACCACAAGAGATATGCTAAGAGAGAGAATCAGGAATGCATGTGATGAAATAAGGCCTTATTTGAATAATGCTATACCATGTTCGATCATTCGTAGATGTGAATTGTGTATTGAACAATTGGGTTTACATTTCGAGCAACTACTTTAGATTTTGTATGTTTGTCCTAACTATCCAATAGCATTTTAGTTGTAAATAATTAATTTAATTTGCTAAAAATAATATTGGAAAATTAAACAAATTAATATTCTGTTTTTTGTGTTTATTTGGAGTTAGGAATTATTGCTGTGTTTAAAAACACAATCTAAACGATCATCTTAATTACTTGTAATGCCCAAAAAATATATTATTTTCCCATAAATAATTAAAAATGCACCGAACCTTAAAAATCGAAATATCTCAAAAATGGCTAACTATAACGAAAACCCACAGGAGAGCTCTTTTATGTTGAAAAGTGCGAAGAATCAGTTTTTTTATTCAAAAAGCAAAAAAATCCACTAAGAAAAATTTTTCGGTCATTTTAATACACTACAGGTACAGTAGAGAGCGCCCTCTAGCGGCTACAGTGAAACTATGCCCATGGTTCGTTTTGTCATACCAAAAAACCCTTGTATACCAATTTTCACTGTTATACATCAAATATTGTTCGAAATATTTAAAAAAAAAACTGTTTTAGAAAGTAAATTTAAACACCCTGTATTTCGGAAGCCACGCATTTTTCTACCCATGTTTATATAGACTTTATGCATTAATCTTAAAAGTACTATCGAATCTTAAAGTTATGCAACAATAAACTGAAACACCGAAAAAAGTGTGCAATATTCTACCAGCGGTTTCTAGAGCTTAAAATAGGAAGAAAAGTTTATATAAACATAGGTCGACACACGTCCCCTAAGGGCGCTACGGTCTTTTAAAAATATTAACAATTTTAGACAGTTTTGTTTGGAAGCGTATGTAACAGGGAAGTTATTTTAGCCCCAACATTTTTGTGAGATTCTATTTTTGAAATTCAATTTTAGAATTTGAAAATTTAGGGTTTTCTACATAAAAAAAGGTACTCTTATTGAATATCGATAAATTGTGCCATTTTTGAATAAAATCAAACTAAAGAATTTGTCACATGATAGGAAATGTACTGCGAATTTAAATGAATTGTTGATTATACATAGTTAGCAATGACTGTAAACAAAAGTTGTTTTGATTTGTTATGACTTATTTTGACGTTAAGCTGACATTGTTAGCAGTGTAAAATTACTAGATTAGAACCAAAATTTTTATTAAATCGATTTAAAAAAGTCCTCATTGCTTAAATTTTGTCGAAGTACCCAACAAAAGGCGGAAGCTTTAATTTTTCACCTAACTGGTCTAGACGACAATGACCACGTCTCAAAAAAAATATATATATATATCGGCAGTATCGGCCTAATTTTGCCGATATATGAATCACCCAATATAATTGATAATATTTATATATATATATATATATATATATATATATATATACTATATTCATTAATTTTGAATGTAACCCCTTTTCTGTCTGTTCTTGCATAGCATACAAATTGCACCAACGGCGTAGTCGATCTTTTCATCGAAAATTTTCCGAAATATCTCCATACGTCACTATTCTTTGGGATTTTCAACATTTTCATCCATGCAAACTTAATGCCTGTAAAACAAGTCAAGAAATAATACGACTCGCATTAGTGAATCCCGCTTCAACAAAAGTTGCTCACAATATAAGGTATCCTAGTAGAAAACTCAAGACAGTGAAAACTGCGACTTACATGTTAACCAACGCATATGTTCAGACAAATACGAACGGTCGACAACACCGACATATCAGGCTTTGAATATCGATATGAGCAAAAATCCTATATTGAAAATGTTGAGTTATGTTTTCACGATGTTCACGTCACGCAAAAGTTGTTTCAAGAAAATATCATTTTTGGAGTGTATAATATTAGGCTCTCTTACTTTTAAAATATTTTAACATGAATAATAAATCCGAGAAATTTCTCGCATGTACACACTTCAGATAAACATTTTTCTGTGTTTTTTTGCAGGCTGTGCTGCCCTGGCGTGCTTTGTTCCGAACACGGATATGAAAGCGCTAGAATAGGAAGTATCAAGTGACGTGATTATCGCAAATTTATTACTTAGTGTACGGAAACCAAGCATATTTGTCTTTTACCATTATTTTTTGTATACCTTCACAAATACATCAAAATATTTATTATCAGTTTTGCATATCCATCTCTGGTAATTAATTGGAGGCCCTAGGCGAGCAGATTATCTCACGAGTGAGATTGGCAAAGATAACTGTACTCCGTAACGAGCCAGATAGGTACAATATAAAATTCGCATGAGGCCATTAGCAGGTCTTGTTCAACTACAACCGCTCCCTAAACCGGTTTATTGAACACCCGACATGTATTTTGCTAACTATGTTAGCATCTCCAGGGGATTGTTAATACTAAAGTGATAACATGAATATTACCTAATACACATACGAGGGGATTCGATATTATCTCAGGCCACTACAGGAACACTGACAGTTTTGAACTGAAAATATTTTATCATTCAATATACACCTCTTTTAGCTCAATACACTTGTTACATCGATCTTTTAGGGCTACTAAACCTTTCGAAAAATATGTTTCCTCTTGGTCCGCAAACTAGCTTTCCAGTGCTTCTATCGGCTTGTTGTTCGAAGAAATTTTTTGGCCTTTTAGGCTTTTTTCAGCTTCGGAAACAGATAATCAGAAGGTGCCATGTAGATAAGGAGGGAGCCCCGAAAGCTCGAAATTAAAATCGGGAAGCTTTGTCATCCAAACGTGCGATTTGTGTGCTGGCGCATTATCTTGCAATAACACAACACCTTTGGAAACCTTTCCGCGTCGTTTCTCCACAATTTTTTGCACAATTTTGAAAATAATTCTGAATACTATTCTCCCTTATGGTTTCCCCTTATCTAAGTAATCAGTGAAAATAACACCACGACCGACCTAAAACAGTGAAGCAATCACCTTTCAAGCTTTTGCACGCGAAATTTCATTAGCCTTGGCGGCCCAGAGTGCTTCCATTCGATCGATTGTTGTTTTGTCTCAGGATCACAGAAATGTATCCAAGTTTCATCCATAGACATTAGACTGTTCAGAAATTTCGGGTCTTTTTTCAATCGGATGACGGAAAAAAATCCATTTTACAGAAATTTTTTTCATGTCAAAATCAACATGAATGATGTAATGGATCCGTTCTTAAAATTTTCATGGTCTCAGCTATACGTTTTATTCCATTTTCGCACGCCGCAGGCATATTTTCTTTAAAAATTTCTTGCTTCGCAATGCTTAAACTTATTGACATGAAACTTTGCAATGACATAATCAATTATATTTTCTTAATAATGTAACGCGTTTTGTGCATTCCAAATGGACAAAGGCTAACTAGATATTTATAACCCCCCCCCCCTCCCGTATACTTGTGATGTTCAGCCAACCGTAGCCTCATCAACAAATTAAGTTTGTGATGCCGCCCAGGAGCAACGACAAATCACAAGTACACATCACCTTTAGGTCACTAGACTATACAGCAGGCTGTTAGGAATAGGGCCAATGTCCTTGTTCAGTACATTCTCTAACCTTTCAGCTATTTCTAGGCTTTCATTTGCCTCTCGTTTCTTAGGACTATGGTCCCTACTAATCCTGTGTTCTGCAACACTAGATTTGTCTATTCTCTCGTATCTTGAATCAGGCACATGTTCTTTAAACCTAGTCCTAATAGATCTTCTACTTTGTCCTATGTAGGACTCACAAATACTACAGCGCATCTGATAAATTCCACACCTTTCAAATATGTATGGTTAACCCCTAAAACGTATCCTGAGATTACCTTGCTAATCAACCTGCATGACTTACTAGTCGTTAAATAAAACCACGGATGTTGCTTGGTGGAAGTGGACAAAACTGACACAATTTGTCACTCCCCTAAGTGAAAACGTTGATATAGATCCATCAAAGCAACATGGTAAGGAGTATATTATATATTTTCAAATAAGTTCAGTAAATATCACGATATTGTTACATATCTTTTCACATTTTAATGACATTTCGGTCATATAGCAGATATCCATATTCACTAAAATGTTATATATACTGTTACTATCTTGGAGCTTTCACTGGAAGAACACGGAGTGTCGGATGTCTGAAAATATTTGTTGAGTATAGTTAAATTTTACGTGGCGTGATAAAATAACATATTTCCCAAAACGTCTGCTGGTGCTTTAACCAAAGACGTATTAACGATGGCTGGACGGTTGTGACCTTTGATTAATATTTTCTTTAAAAATATTCCCAATCATTGCTATAATAGACGCTCATGTAGGATTCCCATCGCCACAGCCACGTTACCAAAAAGAATGGAAAGAATTCTCTTCGTAGTAATAAAAACAGACTCCATTTTCCTATTTCGTTATTTTTTTATTTTTAAACATGACATCAACTTTCCATTGTTCGATCAACTCTCAACCTCCCTCGTGAAAATTTCGTATCTCCAGAAGGTAGCAACGCTGACACTTCGAAGACTAGAGATACGAGGTTAAACTGCGCAAGGGATACACGTATTCACATATATATATATATATAGTAAACTAAAATTTGAGGAATACTATGAATACGTTATTACAAAAATTGCCCAAAAAAACAATGGATTCCAAAAAAATAGTTCATAATACAATTATTCTACCGCATTTACTATTATTGTCCAACTATCTTGTTTACTGACAATGAAGCTGTATTCTCAAAATTACAAGTGCTGCAAAATAAAGCTATGAGAATAATATTGTATAAAAATGAGTACAACATAATAAAATCTATGTTATTGCAGTGGTTGAATATAAAACATGTCATATCATATTTGGTTCTTATTTTTATATTTAAAATAAAAAATTATCTTTTGCCACAACTTTTAGAACACTACATAGAATTGAACAATCATCAATTATTATATAACATGAAACATAGATTTTCGTTAACAAAATTGAAATAGTAATATAACTAGCAAATCAATATTTCAAAATGCATTACTTGAATTTAATAAACTAAATAATGATATAAAGTCTACTTGTAATTTAAAGATATTTGAAAGAAAATTAACGGAATATTTCATGAACAGTGAAAATTCTTAGAGATGCAAATTTGATTTTTCTGAAAATCTGTATATAATTCTGTAGTTTTTTAAAAGAATGTAACTGTAGCAATCATGCTAAATAAATCTTAAACAAACAAAATCACGTCGTATGGGACGGAACGGACCGTACCCAGTGCAAGTGCGAGATATAGAGCCATAATTAACATCGTTCGTTATTTGTTAAAAGTTTTGTGTTATATTATAATATCAAATAAAGTGACGTACAGAAAATGGTATATTTAGTGCAACTTGACCAAGATGCATAACTGATGATTGAGGGTTATTGGTAATTTGGGCAGCTAACTGATTCGTTGGAGCTCATGAGATGAAAAACAGGGGTTATGGTTATACTACTTACTTACATTCTGAGCATGGCTAGCATTATCAAAGCATATATATGGCATGATATCGCTTGCGGGCGACGTGGTAATCCGACGGTGGTATACGATTTTCGACCTTCACATTCGAACATTACCTCCGTGATCCTGTGATACAATTTGCTGTTGCAGTAAAGCGCCTAGTTTCCCAAGTCGTGATCAAATCGCGTCTTTTCACGGTATTTGGTAACAGTCGTGATTCGAGATTTAGAAATAAGAGTTACTGAATCACAGTTCATGATATATCTGCTACCAATAGTTTCGGTCAGAGCAATCACAAAAAGTATCCAACATTTTAATGATCGCTTCACGTTCACCAGTGGATCTCGTAAAAGATTTAGGATGTACATTCACATTTTAGAAAATGAGGTCCTCAAAATGCGTACGAGTTAAATATTTTCTACTAGAGAGCAACTTATGGATAAATAAATGCAAGAAATAATAAATATAGCAATTTCTAAATATTCTCTACATGTATGCTTTCTGGGCGTTCTGTCCACGGTTTAGCCGTTCGCACTGTTTTTGATGCAAAATAGGCAATAGGTAACGCAGTATTACAACCAATCTAAAGGTTCAATGTCTAATGAAGGTGGCAAGCAAACTTTAAAGACATTCCGCGTAGTGCCCTCTCTTGGTTTACCTCGTATTGGATAGGAAAATTTCATTAACTGCCATATCATTCTAACAAAAAATTTATTTGCCGATAATAAAAACCCAACCTAAAAGACCATTTACAATACATCTGTCTTAGACGAGTGCTGACCCAGTAGATTACTTTCTTTAAAAGACTGCTTATTAGAGGTAGTAGCGACGTGATTCACTTTTCCATCAACCGTGTCAACTTCGTCTAGATGCGAATATTTGTTGGCTAACCTGTTGAAGAAGACCTTTCCATATTCAAATGAGGATATCATGATAGCGCAAGATGGTGCCACCTTCACTACCCTGGGCACAGTCCCTGTGAACAAGCCTCTGATACCATACTGTCGGTAAATCTGTCTGAATACTTCTGATGTAGTTCTCACCCTTTGAGATTTGTCTGAAAAAAGAAAATGCCACATTTAAATCAATAAAAATATTTAATAGTCCTTCGACTACAGATCAGATGCCACGACAATTCAGAAAAGCAAGTTACCCGACAGGTTATTTTATAATCTTATAGATCCAATCTACAACTTGCTACTTTTTTTGAAAAACTACACCCTTTGAGTCAACAACAAATACAGGATGTTCTCAAAGTTGGAACATTCCTTAAAAATCTTATAAAAAGAAGCAATAATAATAGAAATGCATGCACCAAAAGCTTAAGATACCGGAGATATTAGATTCCAAAGAAAATTGCGTTATCAAACACGGTCCTGCCGCCAGCAAACGACCAGTTGAAATGACACATTTCTATAATAAAACAACGAACTTGTCAATATGATGTGATGGTGTCTTCAAAATGCTGCTGATACCTTGCGAGTATCTTCAGATCGTTTTTGACGACGAATCGTGCGGTGCTGCCTAGGCTTGATTATGTAGTATAAAAAGCTATAAATGTAAGTCCCTTGCACGAAGATCTAGATGGCCCCAAATGTTGCAAATTGAATGAAAAGTTAGCAGACTTGTGTTTTTGAATTGCAACATGTGGTCAGTACTCTAAATACCGAATTTGACAGTCATCTTTTTACATTTGGGCTACTGTTCCACCAGAAACTAGTTTTTTTAGTGCAATCGTAGATATTTCGGAAAGGAAAAGTTAAAACTTCCAGAACACCCTGTATGATATACAATTCATTGTGTATAAGGAATTTGTGACTATGCAAAGATTAAAAGCTTTTACCCATCATATTTCGTCATTACTAGGATCATATCCAATGTATCACATATGGTAAGCAGTCTATTTCAGAACAAATATTAATGTTGATAGCTCTGTCATATTTTAGTTCACTCTCATTTTATTTCAAAAGTTATATCAGTTTATAGTTTATTCACTGAACAAAAGCAGTTACGTCACAGCGTCAAATAATGGCAGTGACGCACATGGTTGCAACATTAATTAAAACTACTAGATCCTAGGATGTTTTACAAAATCTACTGTATATCTTCAATGGCTTACCGCCATCAACATTACGAAGCATATGTTATGTAGAGCTAGTATAAATTCTATTTACTACCTAATACCTCTCTTACAGACTGTAAAGGCAATAATGGAGCTCCATGATCTCGTTCGGTCACAAAGTATTATTTTGCATGTCAATCCAGAGGTTTCAGCATTTTAGCATAATGCTTAAAACGACAACTCAAAGTTTTGAAAAAAATCTGTTTTTATCAAATAACAATGCGTATATTGAGGCAAAAAGAACGAAAATAAACCACAAATAAACAACAGCAGTTGACAAAATTACCTGACAAGCTTTGCGACAATGATAACAGCACACACAAATATGACGTAACTGCTTTGTTTTAGTGAATAAACTATAGCTATACATGTAGTTTACATACAGAAGAAATATTGACTTACTTCCATATAATTTACTCTCACCAAACTCAATTTGTTGGTGAGTTTTGACAACATCAAATGGAGTAGTTACCATTGCTGCAATCTGAAAATAATTAAAACAATATATAGGGTAAATAATATTTTATAAAAACTAAAAATTATCTTTGTAATTATAAATTTCAATGTAACTAATACTTACTGATCCAGATACAAAACCAGCAAAGAAACTGATCTGCAAAGATGGAACTTTGCTATGACCATTGCAAAATGATTTAATACTTTCATAACTCGTCCAATAGATGGCAGAGAATGGAACATCCCTGAATAATGTTGGAAATATTCCCCTCCAAAGTCCTTTATAACCAGATGTTTCTATTAGGCTTTTCAAAGCTTGCCCTATCTCTTGAAAAAAAACATAATATGAATTAAATGATAAATTAACAATTACCAGTAACAACAGATTTCATCTTTCTTTTATAATTTGTGAGTTTTATATGTATTTGTATCCTCACCCTATCAGCCTTCATAAATGTCATAATGAAATATAGTATGATCAAATACCTACCAAAATAATTAAGTCTCTGTGACTGCATTTTAGTCCTAATTAGTTCTAATGGACTAACAACAGAAGCTGAAATGACTCTAGCACTTGCTCCAGAAGCTAAGGGTATCCAGAATGGTTGCTCCTTTTCTCCAAGTATATTTTTATTATGAACATCTTTCAATTTAAGTCTAAGTTGTTCATAAACTACAAAATATACTATAGTGGCTGGAATGGCAAGTACTAACGTTGGGCTCAAACCACTCCAAAGTGACGTAAGGCCTTCTGTTTTTCCAATTTTGATAAATGCATCCTGGGGAAATAAGTATAATGAGATATTAGGAACAATCTTTATTAACCTAAACAATAGTGAAATTTATGCCTGAAGCATAATGTAGTGTTTTTGGAAATGACGTTATCCAGCGCGCGCCCCCCTCCAAGACGTCTGATACTTGATTTTGTAATCTAACATCATTGTGTTACATTCTGACACATCATGGCGACAGAGACATACTAACTATAAGTTATAACTATAGGAACTGAGCATTGCGACTTTTTGGTATCCTTTGGAATTCCAAACGCTGTCCCTCTTTGACATCACTTACGTTTACAGCACAATTCTTACGATTTATACGATATATACGAATATTGTGACTAGTGACAAATCTGACTAATATATTAGCTATACAGAGTGCACTTAAAAAGTCATTTATGTTCTGTTTGTTGCTCAATAGTAATTTAAATAGTGTGTAAAGCTTGACTGATTTTGTTCGTGGTTTGTATTGCAGTGAAGTACTATGTTAGATGAACCCCTAAAAAAGTCATTTATGATATTTGTTTAGCGGTGCGCCTGTGGCCTGTCCAGAAAATGCGTCCATAGATGCTCAAAGTCAAAACTACACGTTCCGCATCTCTTCCCGCGCATACTGAATTCGTTTAAATCACAGAGCTCCTCCACCTCACGTGAATATGTACAGCCCTGTATTCCTGTTCTCATTTTGTTCAAAGATACATTATCAAAATAATTACTATCTAACAGATATAGTTTTTTTTTTAAGATTTCCAACATTTTTACATGCGATCAACACCGATTCGAAAACTGAGAAAACAACAACCATGCCGTAAATCTAAGTTGTACAACGAAAGTCTGAAGAATAACTGTGACAATTATAATGCGCAACATTTGTCTATAGGCAGTCTGGAGACGGTCTCAAGACGCGATGTATAGATGGTCTATAGACATCCTTCTTGGTTTCGTCTAGCGTTAATAAGATAATGTGATTTTCGTTTTCGCCATTGTTTTGTGTGGAATGCACTGGGATATGCCTTGGGATCCCTCAGAATGTTTTTTTTTTCAGTTAACAGAGCAATGAAGTTTTTTGTTTTATTCTTTAATATTATTACACTAGTTAATTATAAATGCCACGAAATTATTTTGTTCTCATATATAATAAAATATTGTCTTTCTGAGGATCTCTTGAGCATTTTCTATGTTTTATTTTTCAAGCTGGCGTTGACCAGATAGAACACAATGGATTTAAGGAGCAATAATGAGATAAATTCTAGAAGTTCCACTGAGGTTAAAAAATACCTTCCCCAAATATCTCTTGCGCCCCCCTTAGATGAAATCCTGAATCCGCCCTTGACTTTATCAGTCAGATGCAAACAAGCCTATTAGCTGCTACACACACACACAAAGTATAGTTGACAAGTAAGCTTATATAAATTTTAGGTATGGAAGACAGAGTACAAACAGACTTGAACTAACATCTTAAGCAGAATCAATTAAACAACCATCTAGCTTTGGTTATATAAAAAAATCAGGTAAAGAGTTTGCAGCATCAGGTGTAAACCTGCATGAATAGTGACAAAATATGAGGCTCAAAATACATAAATAGATTTGCAAAAGTCTAATGAGATGATACACCAGTAGTACATGTTCAGTTCCTCAAACACAAATTGCATAAGTTACAGTATAGAAATTCAAACAATATAAATTGATCAGTCTGTATCAAAGCAAGAGCCAATTAATAATTATATGTATCTGCAAAATAGGCTGAGGCTGAACTATACTTTAGCGCATATCGCAAATATTACATTTCTTATTTTAAAATGAAATATTAGGATGTAACTTGCACGAAAATAACATTTTTTTTAAGGAACCCTCTGCTTGCTATTTTATAGAACTTCAAAGTTGCATTTTGTGTGGTAATACTGTGGTATAGAATACTGCTTTCTAAGCTGTTCGTTTTCGTGTTTACACAAAAGACTGCTCAAAATTATATGAATATAACATACAATGTAAATTACTGTGACACTATTCATCGCAATAATGCAATTTTGCATTATTTTAATGATGAAAATAGTTCATTTTTAAGTAGTAATTTCTTTTATTTCAGATAAATATTCCCATCACTACACCACCATGACTATCCTACTCTCTATCTAGTTGCTATGTTGCCACATCAAGGACAGTTATATGCCCTAATTTGGTTTGTCAAATTCTTACTTATATACTAGCGCAAAAATGAGCAATGGGCACAGGATTGTCATGAAAATGCGATTTGGAGGTTTGGCCGGCAGGTGCCTCGTGCCCTAGGATAGCGTTAGCTAAAGACACTTTTTTGAAGAATGCCTTATGCCCTCTACAAAAGTACTTCGGTTATTGTTTTTCCTATATTATAGTTATAATCTATTTACTTTTTGTATGTACGTATTTGATGAATTATTTAAAGTGAAGCTGTTATGACAAATAACTGAAAAAGTGGCGGTTGCCAATCACTAAATAATGAAAACATAACAAAGAACATTGCAAGTTTTTCGATGATTTGATGAAATGATCGTTGATCTTTATTTAACTATAATGTTGAACGATGATATGTTTCGAAGTTGGATTTTTTTATATGCAATGACCGCTGGTGCCTTTAGTATTTTCTGTCACGCGAGCCGCTGGTGCATTTTCCACTGTTTAGACACATACTGTTCAAAATCTAGTTTTCGGTAAATTTTGGGTAAACTTCTGATAAAACAAGCCATTTACAATAAATTGGGACTTTTATTTTGCAAAACCTCAAACCTCATCATTTATCTTATCTGTCAAAAAATGAACGTTATAAAATGGCCATTCAGAATTGTTTGTACTGTCAAATATTTCTTATAAACGCAAAAAGTTTTATCTCACTGAAAATACGCGAAAAAAAAATGGTTAAGGAATTTCAAGAAGACTTTGATTAATCGCAACACAATACGTCTGCACAGTTTACCAAGTAAATACCATCATTTACATACAGTCATGGACAAACGTATATAGACAAATATGAATATTTACCTAAATACCTTTAGAACACGAATTCATACTTCATTGCTCCATAAACAAATAGTTATTAGTAGAAAAACTAAATTCCTTGTTTTTACATTATCTGCAATGAACACAATACAAGTCTGAATATAAGCATTTTTTTATGAGGGACAAAAATATGTAGACAAATTCTTTTCAACAATAGTTTAGTACAGTGTCGTGTCAGAAGAGGATCAAGTATTGAGGAATAAGTTGAGCGATGTCAAGACCATGCCGCATGGTCCGGAAATTTCTTTTGGTGTGAAAACTAATATCATTGAGTTATACAAAGATGGTCAACGTCAAGTCGACATTGCCAAAAATTTGAAGCTGAAGCGTGAAGCATTTTGGGCAATATTGAACAAATATAAACAAAAAGGCATCTTGGAAGCCTCTAAGAGAAGTGGTCGGCCTAGAAAACTAAATGCTAAATTGGTTAGATTAATAAAAGGAATTTCGTCCAAAGATCCGGTTAAAACCCAAGACAAATAAAAGCCGAAATCGAGACCAAAGGAATTCTCAGTTTTTCTACGAAAACTACGAGCCCCTTCCCACTTCAGTTGACCCACTTCAAGATTTATACCAAAATATGCCTTTATAAGCTAAACATGACGAAACTATTTACTTCTAAAACAATTTATATACACTCTAGTCGTAAAAAATACATATACTAAGTGACATATAAATCCGAACACCCAGTTTAAATGGTATTATTTTAATAAAATTTTTATGAAGCATAATAAGTAAATGATAAAAATTTCAAAATGATTGCACTGCTTTAAAGCCCTTTGACCTTTAATAATGTGTGGATGCACCCTGATGTGCTACGCATTCTCCAACGCGCCTAGGCATGCTTCTGATCAGGTGGTCAATGTCCTCCTGTGGTATCTCATTCCAGGCAACCACCAACTCCTCTCGAAGTGCTTCTAGAGTCTGAGGAGGACATTGCAAATTGAGCAATCTCCTACCCATCATATCCCACACGTGCTCAATTGCGGATAAGTCGGGAGATCTTGGTGGCCATGGTAACAATGTGACATCATTATGTTGAAAGAAGTCTATTGTGACTCTTGCAACATGTGGTCGGGCATTATCTTGTTGGAAAGTTCGATCTGCCAGGGTGTCAAGATAGGGTAAAAGATGGGGTTCTAGAACTTCGTGGATGTAACGCTGCACGTTCATGTTACCTCTGATGAAGATTAAAGGTGACCTGGAACCATAAGCTATAGCACCCCAAACCATAACTCCAACAGTGTGATGAACATGTCTTTCAACAAAAAACTGTGGATTCCTCCTTTCACCACGTCGCCTTCTAACCCTGGCACGACCATCGTGCATGCCTAAACAAAATCGAGACTCGTCACTAAAGACAATACTGTTCCATTCCTGATCCCAGAGTGACTGTTGTCTGCACCACTCAAGGCGATTACGTCGGTGTTCTCGAGTTAAAGGGAGGACCCAGTGTGGCCGGTATGAAAACATGCCAAAACTTCTCATTCGTCGGTAAACACTTCGCATGCCAATAGGTCTTCCGTGTTCTGAAAACCATTCATTTGCAATGGACCTGGTAGTGGAGAAACGGTCCCTTAAGGCCAATAATCTTGGGCGGTGATCTTCACGGTCTGTTGTTCTACGGCGGCGTCCAGTGCCCCTTGCTCTTTGCGTACGGCCTTCTCGAAGCCATGCCTGACAACACCTAATCACAGTGTCTACACTTCTTTGCACTCTAACCGCAATTGCCCGAAAAGAAAGTCCAGCTTCCCGAAGTCCCACTATACGGCCACTATCAAACTCACTAAGTTGACGAAATCGTACAGGTCTCCGTACTCTAGGCATCGTAACCGATCGTAAAGGATGTCAAGAACCAAAATCCGCCAACGTTGATTCTTTACTGCGGCTGAAATATTCATTTTTTGAGCGTTAGTGAATTAAAAAAAAAGCAGTATAAAAACCGGAATGTCCAACTGATAAGGCTGAAAATTTTTTCACTTGTTATTTACAGTAAGATAAATACATTCACCAACTTTTATTAAAATAAAACCATTTAAACTGGGTGTTCGGATTTATATGTCACTTAGTATAGAATAAAGTCGAAAGTGCGCTTATTCCCGTATTCAAAACCTTTGGAACTATAAGAGTGTTTTCTCTTGTCACTCTATTATGTTTCGTTGCTTGTTTAGATTATTCGGTTATCAAGAAGGGCTTCGGACCTCGGTTGACCGCGTGGGTCAGAGTGTCGTGCTACTGATCAGCCGGCCGGCCGGGCCGCGAGTTCGAATCTCGCCTTCGCCATGGATGTTTTGACGTCGTGTGTTTGTCCATAATTAGAAATGTAAAATACCAACCTATTTTCTGGCTGCATGGCCTGGTCCTAAAGCCAAAAAAAAGAAGGGCTTAAAATTGGCAGAATAATATTTTTCCGGATAAAACTCCCTCGTATCCATTGCGTTTCTTATAATAAATACAATGGTTGTAGAAAACGTGGTTAGAAATTAGTCGGCAGTTATCAAGTGACATTACATGATTCTGTAATAAATTGGACATTTCACTACTGCGTACGGTATTAAATTAATTACCAAGTGACGTACCCTCTGTATCAAAACTACTAGCATTAACCCACGGCATTCCGCGTGGGAGTAGTGTAATGTATAGGGAATTTGTTTTGTATTAGTGTTAAAGTGATTGGTTTCGGAGAAAGAATTGTAATATTCAGAGTCATGCTTTGGCAAGAGATATTTTTATTCAACATTTTGATGCAACAATAAATTGATATCAACTGTGTAAACAGAACTATAATAAATCATACGAGAAGTATCAAGCACAGCTAGTGTGGCACATCTCATGTCAAACTCCATTGAATCGTTAGGGCTGTAGCCTGCGAAATATATTCAGGTATTTCCTAGGATAAAGAGTCGTCTATGTGTTATTCCACTCTATAAATAATCTATCTCTATACCGAATTTTATCCAGATTAAGTCAGTCATTTTAGCATGATTGAGTAGCAAACATCCACAATTTCTCATTTATAATATTAGTAGGGATGCAACATGTACCATATTGAGGAGCGTCACGCTCTTGGAAAATAAGAGACGAGATTTACACAACAGTTTTTATTGAATTTCGTCTTTCTTAGTACATATGTGCACTAATCTATTATTTACAATGGGCCCTTTTAGTTATTTAGACAACTGTTATTTATGACTATGATTAGTAATAGAACAGTCTACTGAAACTATATAATTTTTTACTTTTGGTTGTACAGTAGGTAACGTATAAAACCGTAGAAAATTTCGATTAAAACCTGGCTGTTACTTTTATGTTGAATTGACTTTCAGTCTATTGAAAAACATGCTGTGGCAATTAATCCTGCTATATTAATATTCATTAAAAATTGCAAAGCTATTATAGTAAATCCATGTTCGAAACAGCACGAACGTTGGACAATACACATTTCAGGTCTGTATTATGCTAAGATATGTATAAATCATATAATAAAATATACTTAAATATATAGCAACACGATCTTCATGAAAAATGAAAGCTAACAGCAAATGTTATATCATACGTCTATTATCTGCAGGGTTTTTGAGTTACGATTTTATCTTTGTATGCCATCAGATAAAGTGATGAGAGACTGAAACAGCTAAAACTCGAAGTATAACATTTGAATCATCTACATTCTTATCAAATTTTAAACAACAAATAGTACAGATGGTAAAAAGCAAATGGACAACTTATCAAG